AAAAAAAAAAAGAAAAGAAAAGAAAAGAAAAAAAGGGCATTATACATACCACTAACACCTCCAGCGGTAACACCACCCAGTCTCCCCACGCCCCAATCACCGAATATCTCTGCGACTTCCTCCCTCACCATCTTCGCGAGTAAGCTCGGCGTCAGGGCGTCGGATGTGGGCGAGTGGATTTGCAATTGGGATTGTGCGGTTAGTGGTGCATTTTTGGGCGCTGTGGTTGAGGGTGGCCATGAGGTGGGATCTGGGTAGAGGATGTCGAGGAGGAGGTAGCGGTGTTTGACGCGGACCATTTTAGATTTCTTTTTGCTTTTTTTTCCCGGGGTTTCTTTTCTATAGTTGTATAGGGTTGACTGGGGTGCTGAAGGTTCTTATTCGGGGTGATATTTTTCTTGCGCGGCGGTTTGGTGCGTGAATTGGGCGACAATGAGCGATTTCGAGCGGCTGAGCACCCCTGGTGGGAAGGAGGTTCTGAGAATTCTCGGAGTTGGTGAAGTATGACGCGGTTTGAGTTGAACCGTAGATTTAATGTACGGCTATGTTTTATCGATTCAAGAATTGCAGCAAAGCTCTAAGTTAGTCTTGCCTATAGCGGTTAGTTTCATTACTTCCCGAAGTTTGATAAAGGGCAATGTGGGGTGTCGGAAGAACTGCTATCTCGGGCAGTTCATAAATCAATTGAACTGACAGGCACTCGTTAAGTCACTTCATCTGGAATGGATTTTCTGCTTTTGTTTTTGTAATTCTTTGACTTCTGCTTTTTGCTCAAAATTCCAGACCCGCCAACTGACATGGCAAAGCGGGCAGGGCCCCGATACCTTTCAGCTAAAAGTAGACGATGAACACACGGAGGAACTTTGCTATAAGAATAAAGACAAACATTACTCGAGTTTGAGGCGATATGGAATATCATTGAAATTATAACCCATTGGATTGTAAATCAGGCTGTCGTAATTCTAACTCTTCTAAACAGATTCTGCCTTTTCTGCCCTTGCATAGAATTCATCAACCCTATCAGCTAGTCATGCCACATGTGCGCACTACAGATTGTGAGGTGAAATAAAATGATATAAGAATAGAAACAATGCAACGCAAGCCATCATAACTCCAACGTCAAAGAACATGACGGGATTTTATGAGAATACCAGTATCCCACACTGGCCACTTCCACGAGTGTAAAGATATAGAAAAAATGGAAAGGTAAGAAATTAATAAGGATATATAAAAGATTAGAGGTTGACCTCGACACGGCCTTCGGATCCACCCTTCTGCAGGGCAGGGAGCAAGTAGGTGATATCGTCCCAAGGGTGTCTGTAGAGACCAGTACGCAGGCGCTTCTGATCGAGGTAGTGGGCAATCAGACCGATACTGCGACCCAAAACGAAGAGACCGTTAAGGACACCCATCTTCATGTAGTCCTCAACTTCCTCCGGAGAGAAGGCACCGGAGTTGCGCATGAGGTCGACGAAGCAGACAGCAACGCAACCGTCGACGTTCAGGATGAGGTTGTCCTTCTTAGAGGTGGTGACGGTCTCAACAGCGATGGCGTAGTCGAGCAGCTTCGTGCTGGGGAAGTGCTTCTTGGCGAACTCCTTGACCAGCTCGACACGAAGATCGGGGTTGTTACGGGACTTGACACGGTGACCGATACCAGGAACTATGAGCGGTTAGTGATGTGTCTTGAATTGAAAGTGTAGGAGAAACAACGGCAGGGGGAACATACTGAGCTTGTTCTCCTTCCTCATAGTGTCAACGAAGTCACGGGGGCTCAGACCCTTGTCGAAGGCCTTGGTGAACTCCTCAGCAGCACCGTCAAGGGCACCACCGAAACGAGAACCAATGGTCAGAAGACCAGAAACGAGAGCACTGATCAGATCCTTGCCGGCACGGGTGGTGATGATGGTGTTCATGGCACCAGACACGGCAGGACCGTGATCAGCGGTAAGCATGAGAACCATCTCCAAGAACTTGCTAGCGTAGGCGGGAAGGCGGCGGCGGAACCAAAGAAGAGACATGACACCACCAATGCCAATGTCCTCCCGGAAGACATCGGAGATGGGCATACCGGCGTAGAGGAGCTCCTGGCCACGGTCGTCGGAGATAGTGGAGATGAAGGCAGCGGGCTTACGGACGAGACCAAGCTCCTGGGCCCAGGAGTAGTCGATAGGGATCTTAGGGGGAACAGGCTCGGGCTGAGGCTGGATGTTGCCCTTGCTGACCTCCTGCTCGTAGACCTCCTTGAGCACCTTGGGCATGTCCTCAAAGGTCTCGGGAACGTGGATACCAGCCTCCCTCATGGCCTTGTTCTTAGCAACAGCGGTCTCCAGGTCAGAGTTGGCCGAAGCACCAGCGTGACCGAACTGGACCTCGGTCTTGAACATGCTGGCGCAGGTACCAATAGCCCAGGCAACAATGGGCTTGGTGATGGTGCCGTTCTTGACGGCCTCGATGACACGGTACTCCTCAACACCACCGACTTCACCGAGCAACACAAGGATCTTGCACTCCGGCTCGTTCTGGTAACGCAGCAAGTGGTCGATGAAAGTGGTACCAGGGTAACGATCACCACCAATGGCAACACCCTCGTAGACACCATCGGTATTTTGAGAGACAATGTTGTTCAATTCGTTGGACATACCACCAGACTTGGAGACGTAGCCAACAGAGCCCTTACGGTAGAGCTTGGAAGCCACAATGTTGTCCATCATACCACCAGTGTTACCAATCTTGAAAGCACCAGGCTTGATACCTCCGACGGTAGCAGGTCCAATGATAGTGATGCCCTTCTCCTTGGCAGTGACGAGGATCTCACGAGCGCGCTATTACCACTGTTAGTCGGAGTCTAGCTTGGCAGAGATCAAGAACCTACTCTTTCTGGGACACCCTCGGCAATGATGGCAATGGCCTTGATCTGGGGGCAGTTCATCAACTCCATGGTAGAGCTGTAAACGGAACGGGAGGAGGCGAAGTTCACAACAGTGTCAACATCGGGGTGCTTGGCCATGGCCTTGGAAACGTCCTGGTAGACAGGGAGCAAAGTCTCGCTAGTACCCCAGTACATCTTGCTCACGAATTGACCACCGAAAGTGTAGATGATACCGGCGACTGAGGGTGTGCTGCGCTTGCAAATGAAATCGAAGTCGAGCATGCCCTGCACGGCCTTGGGCTGCATACCACTATTACAATGGTCAATATGTGATGTGGACCTCCAGAGGACAGAAGTACTCACTATACGAAACATCTGGTCTTGTTGTGGAAAAGGGCATGGTTGAGGGGAGAGAGCACACGGCTGGGGGGTGCGAAGCGGGTGATGTTGTCGTTGGCAGAGCCGCCATTGGCGGTGTTGACAAGAGGAGCGGTAGAAGACATGATGGCTAATTACTCTGTCAATCCAGCTAACATTAGCAAAGTATTCACGATTCCAGAACTGGCGGGAATAGAAGGTCAAGAGGATAGGGAATGTATGATATCAGTATCCGAACTGACTCCGAGGAAACATACCTGTCAACAGAGCTCCAAACGTAAAACAATCAAAGGAAACAAGAAGGTATTATTAGGTGGGTATGTAGATGAGTTAAATGATATAGAGAGCAAGTCGCAGCAAGTAATAGCGACCTGGGAAGGAGAGGAGAAGATAGATGGGAGAGAAGGATAAGGGACGATAACTAAGGAAGGAGGATGGAGAAATTGGAATTGGAGGGGGGGATGAAGTGGATTAATCGATGAGTTAAGACGGAGTGAGAGAAGAAAAAAAAAATAACAACAGAGGGGAACGATATCGGGTTAAGATTGGGGGTTGGTACGGAGTAAAGAAATTATGGAGCTGCTAATAATAATTTCTGAGGTGAAGTACAGAAGCCCGGAGTCTGAAGTATGTACGGCGTATGGTTGGTATGTATCAGGCAGGTAATCGTATGGGTGGGCGGTATGGGGCAGTACTAGACGGTCTTGAGAAAACGGCGGGGGGCGCAATGCGGGACCAGTTGGGAAAATAGTCTGGCCTGAGGCGAGATTCGGATTTCGGGACATGAAACTTGAAAAAGAACTGTCCTAGTAATAACCTTCCGATGAGAATCCTTATTGGAAAATCTAGTCTAATTGATCGGACTCGGGACAGCCACAGGTACCATCTTGAAAAGCTACGGTGGTATAATGAAAGAGCTAGGGCTGGTGTGACGGCGTACAGACTCCAGAGTACTGCTTACGGAGTGCGGAGGATGCGTCAAGCTAACCTGCAGGGTAATAATTTTGGGGGGGGGGGGGATAATGTTGCTCAACAAACTCAAGTTCTTGTTTTTTCCCTGCCTGGCGGTGATCTGAAGTACACCGTATAAACTGGACTGACTCCAGTGGTGACCCGAAGTACACGGTATTCATAATACTGACCCCGAGAGTGATCTGAAGTACACCGTATATACAATACTGACTATGGTCAAAAAGGGTAATGAGCAGGATAATCGGGTCATGTTCAACCAAGTCTCGACTCCATAAAGTTAAGGCCCAAGACACTAATTCTGTAAGATGATCTGGTCGGGACTAAAGGTAGGTGGGGTCGATGAACGTCTAATATTTTTTTTTCTTGTTGGCACAGGGATGCCAGTGTACCTTCCCACTAGTATACAAAGTACACTGTAAACCCGAGTACACATCATCCATTGCCTGCATCACACTATGTAAAGATGCCGCTTGAGAAAATATTTTGATTCGATTCGGCTACCTGCTGCTAACGGGTGCACATGACGATTGCTCACCGACTAAACATCATGCAATTCCAACAAAGATGCATTGGAACCGACTATTTCCTTTTACACTTACACTCAGGGTGTTAGAAAAAGGTAGTACCCATGACTTCATGACAAGGGATCTGTAACCACGTCAGGGAATAGGAGGTGGTATTATGTACCTACGGGGTAGTAGTAGTATGTACTGTGCCTTGATACGTAGTAAACCAACTGAAGTATGTCCATGGTAATCTTCTAACCTTCTAGAAGATTATCTAAAGGCGGTGAACGAAGAGGGGATCGATGGGGACCTAAATAGTCAGGCAACAAAATCATTCCCTGACGGATCTACAGGCCTGTAGTGGGATAGCCATCCAGTAGGCACTCAGTACTGTGGGTAGATCTTGTCAATTAACGCAACACCCTGTACCTGGATATAATTCCGATTTAGACAGTGGTCCACGTGTACACTGCACCTACGACGTATCAAACTCTCTGGGACTCCTGATGGGTCAACAAAATCTATCCAAAACCCAACAAAAACCGATAATGAGAAACCATAATTACAGATAAATCGACGATAAAGTGCGACTTCCGGAGGGAACCGTCCGAAGAGCGCCAGAAGGTGCCATTCATCAAGGTGTACAGTATTGAGGCTACAGCGTAGGGCAGATACTGCGTACTAAATACCCCTTCCCGAAGAACCCCAACAGAGTGGAAAGCGAAGCTCCCCAACCCGTAGGAATTAAGGCCGCTTGACATGGTGGGTCCTGGTGCGATCCACATCCTCTGCTGATCCCCACCGTATCTCAACACCTCTCCCGAGCTCGGCCTTTTGTGGTGTGTTTTGGTATTCCCGTATCGTGCTGGTATGGTTGCTTCGGAGGGGCCAGAGTACAGTTTTACCAGCCAAAAAATTCCCCTCCCCCTCCAACTGGTCATCCAAAAGAGTAATAATAATTTCCAGGAGCTGAAATTATTATCATCGCCGAACCCGACGTACTTTTCTTCTTCCTTCTTTTTACTGCGCCCCCCGTTTGAAACTGTCCTCCTATACCTCCAATACTCCTCTCTGGTAATTTTTGCCAAGCCAGAAACAACTTATTTTGTTTTCTTTCCTCACTTTTCCCTCTCTCACTCCAATCTATCCTCACATACTTCCCACACCTTCTATACTCTTAATCTGGGGTTGACTTCCCTTCCTCTTTAACACTTTTATTCCCCCTATACTATCAGTCAATAGCTCCTTATTCCCCTCTTGATCCTCTTCTCCATATCTTCTTCTAGTCCTTTACCCCTCCAATATGTCCGCCAAGTCGATTCTCGAGGCTGATGGCAAGGCCATCCTGAACTACCACCTCACTCGTGCTCCCGTCATCAAGCCGACTCCTCTTCCTCCTTCCTCCACCCACAACCCTCCCGCTCGTCTCGCCTCTCTCTACTTCCCTGAAGACCGTGCCGTCAAGGATGTCCTCGACCAGGCCGAAGTGACCTACCCATGGTTGTTGGCCTCCGGTGCTAAGTTCGTTGCTAAGCCCGACCAATTGATTAAGAGACGTGGCAAGAGCGGTCTTCTTGCTCTGAACAAGACCTGGGCTGAGGCCAGGGAATGGATTGAGGCTCGCGCCGCTAAGGACGTCCAGGTTGAGACCGTCACTGGCGTTCTCCGTCAGTTCCTGGTTGAGCCTTTCGTCCCCCACCCTCAGGAAACTGAGTACTACATCAACATCCACTCCGTGCGTGAGGTAAGAAGCATTGTAGATCCAAAGGCAATTGTAGAGGGTATCGACTAACATTTGGCAGGGTGACTGGATCCTCTTTACCCACGAGGGAGGTGTCGATGTTGGTGATGTTGACGCCAAGGCCGAGAAGCTTCTTATTCCTGTCAACCTGAAGAACTACCCCTCGAATGAGGAGATCGCTGCCACTCTCTTGAAGAAGGTGCCCAGCGGTGTTCACAATGTCCTCGTGGACTTCATCTCTCGTCTGTACGCCGTCTACGTCGACTGCCAGTTCACCTACCTCGAGATCAACCCTCTCGTTGTCATCCCCAACGCTGATGCCACCTCCGCTGAGGTCCACTTCCTGGATTTGGCTGCCAAGCTGGACCAGACCGCTGAGTTCGAGTGCGGCACCAAGTGGGCTATTGCCCGTAGCCCCGCCAACCTCGGTATTGCTGTCGCTCCTCAGGAGGGCAAGGTCAACATTGACGCTGGCCCACCAATGGAGTTCCCCGCTCCTTTCGGCCGTGAGATGAGCAAGGAGGAGAAGTTCATCGCTGAGTTGGATGCTAAGACCGGTGCCTCTCTCAAGCTCACCGTCCTCAACTCCAAGGGCCGTGTCTGGACCCTGGTTGCTGGTGGTGGTGCGTCCGTCGTGTACGCCGATGCCATTGCCTCCGCTGGTTTCGTCAGTGAGCTCGCCAACTACGGTGAGTACTCCGGTGCTCCCACCGAGACTCAGACCTACAACTACGCTCACACCGTCCTCGACCTGATGCTGCGTGCTCCTACCCACCCCGATGGCAAGGTTCTTTTCATTGGTGGTGGTATTGCCAACTTCACCAACGTTGCTTCGACCTTCAAGGGTGTCATCCGTGCCCTGCGTGAGGTCGCCCCTGTTCTGAACGAGCACAAGGTACAGATCTGGGTCCGTCGTGCTGGTCCTAACTACCAGGAGGGTCTCCGTAACATCAAGTCCGTTGGTGAGGAACTCGGTCTTGACATGCACGTCTACGGTCCTGAGATGCACGTCAGTGGTATCGTTCCTCTTGCTCTTCTGGGCAAGAAGAGCGATGTCAAGGAGTTCGCCGCTTAAAGAATTTCTCTTCCCTTTTTTCTTTGATTCTACTTAATTTAATCTTACGTGTGCATTTCGTTTCTGAACGCATGGCATGATATGGTTTCATTTTTCTTTTTATATTTTCTCCTGTGGGCAAAGAGCGAACAGTTGGACAAAACCTCGACCTGATTTTCGGGCCAAGGAGACGGGATATCCATTGTATGGAGTTGAAATTTAGACTTGGTCTTGCAGGGCATGAGATACATGATTCTGCGATGTTAGTCGTTAATAAGATACGATTACCAACGTTACGATATTCAATCCTACGTAAAACCAGCAAAGAATAGAAAAGTAGTAATTTAAAACTCACATTAGAAACCAAGGAAACAAGAATCTTCTGTACAAAAGAAAGAGAGAAAAGGTAAGAGGAAAAGGGAATTGATCCCACCCTTTGTATAGGCAGTATGTAAAATCAATACCCATAAATACAACGTACATACAGTAACCTCAAAACAGGAGTCAAAATAAGCTACAATGTAAAATACCACTAAGAAATAACCTCAATGACAAGCTCCAGATGATCCAGCGATCTCGATCCATGCAGAAAATAGAATAAACTCGTGGAATAAGGTCTGTGTGGTGGAATCGGGTTGTTCTGTTGTGAGTAACTTCCGCACGTCCGAGATGGGGACGTCCCGGATGGACGGAGAGGACCACCATCTTGGTAATGGTAATAAGGTATGGCTTGAGACGGAGCCGACGGGACGGGCCTTTGCAGGTGGATGGAGCTTGGGTGTGGATTTGAGGGGCCATTGATCTTATCTCTGTCTTTTCTTCCTTTTTCTGGTCATTTTTCGGTTTGCTTTTGTTTGTGGCGGTGATTGTTTGATATTAGGGCTTTGGGTGTGGGACGCATTGTGTATTAGGCGGGAGACGGTACGCTTTTGGGCTTTTGTGCTAGGGTTACTGAATTGACTGATCTGTATCTTTTACGTTCCTGTATATCTTTAAGTGGGCTTATTTCAGTGAGAGTGTAGCTACCTAGAGGTTGGATGGAGTGATATTGAAGTGGGTGGGTATATAGATTACATCGGACAAATGGAAGCACTTTAATTTATAACGCCGCTTAAGATAGCATCCTGCTGACACTTCCGAACAATGTGTTTTTTTTGGTCTAGTTTAATATTCCTGGTTTCTATACGAATAATTCTTTAAGTGTTTTGATTTAGAGTACTGACTTTTCTTGAAAATAGTCGGCTCTCTGATCGGAATTCGATGTCGGTTAACGTGATAACATAGTTTGGCCTATATATTTAGTTGACCACCAAGTCTAGTGCCCACAAGAGACTAAAGATAACAGATCGTATCAACAGAGAATAGGAAAAAGGAGGACCTGCATGGCTTGCACACGTATCATCATCTGGTCTGTAAATCTATATTATTGTGCTATCGAAGAAGGTTCTCGTTCCTGGAGGGCCGTTGCCCGTCTGACCAGGGGTTTGTAATTGCGGATTCCCCCGATTCAGCGAAGGATGGGCATTAGCGAGAGAACCGGTTGCGACAGAATCATCCCGGAATCGCTCAAGCAAGACGCTATTTGGTGGTAAGTGTGACATTCCTGTGGAAGGAAGTGATTGACCTGTGAGGCGTGTTCGGTGCTGAGGGGTCATGGGCACCTCCTCTATACAAATGTCAGGCAATGCAAAAAAAAAAAAAAAAAAGCCACAGTAACATACGATGTCTTGGATTTCCAGGAAGACTTGGAGGCGGCATTGCTGTGGCATCCGCTCTTTTCATTGCACCCTTTGAGCTTCCAGTGCCGCTGCGTTGATATCGATGCAATTGCTCCACTCCCTCTTGGTCAACGGGGAAAATGTTCTGTTGACGATGAGATAGCGTCTGCACTGGCAATAGTGGGCCCACTTGTCTGTTCGATGTCGAAGCTGGAGGGTCATTCCGTGATGCTCCTAAGGAGTTCAGTGCCTGAGAAACTGAGTCCGATGCAGCGGTTTGCATATGGGTCCGCATTGCTCGAGATTTCAGCAAATTATAGAGATTTGTGATTTGGGAAAACTTCTTGCACTTCTCTCGGTATAAATCAACAAGCTCTTGATTCTTCTTCTGGAGTTGCTCGTGTGTCGCCTGCATATCTAGCCCTTATTCAGATGAAAGTTCGAGTAGAAGAGTTGGACGGCACGAACCTGATAGCCTTGTCTGTAGAATCGAAATTTCCGTGTTGGCATTATGAATCACTTTATCCATCTGTGTATTTAAACCCGTATACTTTTCTGTGAGTGTCTTTGCGAGAAATTCCTGGTAGTAGCTGTTGTCCGTCAGTACGCAATAGCTTCGAGCAGCGGACAGGAACAGGCACATTTCTTGAGTTGTTTGGTAGGTCCAAAAGAGCAATGCGCGCCCAGCACACTCCATTATGGTGTTCGGATCTAACCCACTCAATACGCTGGTTTTATAATCCTCCGTTGGGTTTAAGACAGTTATCACGACATCATCTGGGTTGACGAGGATTGTCTGACATGCCGGGCAATGGCGTTCGCCAGCGTTGGAACTCGAAAGGCCAAGGGTACCTGCACAAATAGGACAGAAGATGTGTCTAATGAGTCGATGCTTAGCATTCACAGAGACAATAGGACAATAGACGTACAATTCAAGACGGAGGGGTCCGACTTACGAACAAGTCGTAACAACCGCTTGTTCCTTCAACTGACATCGACATTTAAGTGCATTACATCGGAGATAGAAGTCCATATTGAAACTATAGCATGAAGTAGTCTTGAACGTTAGAAACCAACATGCGAGAGGTGTCGAATGGTATGGTATGGGTAACCGATGGTAGCCATACGCACACATGGCAAGGATCATAAAAAAGACATCCACAGAGAAACCTGGGGACTACACATAGACAGTTCCATATTCTCCCTTATGATCTCTCGTAATATTTGTTGGGTATCTTAATATACAAAATTCACAGAATAACGCATCCTCTACTATAGCAACCTATTCATCTTTCCATCATGTTTTAATCATTTAATTAGAAGAAGAAGGTATTCCCTGAAGCATCACGTCGTGTAGTGCGCATCTTCTCCTCGAATTCTGGTCCTGGCTCGTATTCTCGCCATAGACTAGCAGGGTAAATATGCTTATTCCGCTCATACCACCGTCTGTCAACGACCTTCGTCGATGCAGGATCCTTACCAGCACCCTCAAGTTGATCTGTATTCGAACTCAATAGAGGGCTATCATTGGTAGGAGCTGTTTCGGGGGGCTTGTTGGAATAGTCGAATAGTAATCCTCCAGCACGTGAGAAGCTGGGTACTCGATTGGCAATAAAGTAGTATAGTTCGTAATGCTTGTTGACGGTTAGCACCTTGGTAACAATAGAATAGGGACGAAAACAATCACTCACATGTGGAACGATTACGTCCCCCTTCACTAGCATCAAATCATCGACACTGACCCTTGCCCATTCGCGTCGATTATCTTTCCGTCCCTTTGAGGCACCACTGTTACCGCCAACTCCTAGTTCTGCACCCACCTTTCGGCATCGGTCCAAAAACAACCAGACTGGGTCGCCTTTTTTAACCTTGACCGTCCCCGCGGGAATATTCGTTCCATCATAGAAAATAAATGGTATTAAGATTTCCGTGTTCTTCACGGCGTCCTGCATCGCCAAGAATTCCTTGCGCAAGGCATCCCGCGCTTCAGCTTCAGCCTTCAGCGCAGCTTTTGTCATTGCTTTGGGTGGGGGTGGAGCGTTTGGATTTGGGGTAATCCGACGTGACGGCGGTAAGGAGCTGTTATCTACCGGCGTTCGTGAAGCGGAACGTGGTATGCTGGCCGCGGAATCTTCTCCGGTATTATCATCTTCTCCCTCATCATCTCCAAAAGAGAGTTTGCTCTTCGTAAGCGGCTTCTTCTTCTTCTTTTTGGGGGGTCCATCGCTTCGTGTCGAGGCGCTAGTAAGTCGCGATAAGCCTGAGAACCTCTTAAAAGTGCGCTTTGACTTACCTATCGGTCACATCGCCACCTGATGGAGTTGCGCTTCTCGAGTTACCAGAAGTGAACCTCCCCAGTGATTTATCATGTGCTTCTCGTTCTTTCTGCTCGAGAACCTCTGCGCGACGCTTGCGAAAATCAGAAAGATGGACTAGACCAACAGTCTGTGACTTGAGAAGTTCTTCTGCAGAGGCTGTCTGGCTTGTGAAAGACCTAGGTGTCGAGCTATGGCTCGGCTGTTCTGATTGCGACATTATGCTGGATTAAATGTGCAAAGCAGGATACCTGACGTAGATCGGAATCGAAGATCTCATAAGTAATCGATGTACTTTTGCACGTGACCGCGGAAATCGAGACCCAAGATTAAAAGTGAGACCGAAAGAGGTAGTTAATTACATGAAAAGTTTGTATTAAATTGACACAGTCGCCATACAGTTAGGCTGATCATAATTTCTATTCTTTGCTGATGGTAACTTGTGCTTATCATTTATTGGCTGAAGTTTTGCCATGCCACTTTCATTATATAAATTGTGGTTATGCATATACAAAAGATAGAGCAGCATAGTATAGGTTGTGCTCTATTTGCGTAGGACAGCGATATCACGCTGCTTGTATCTATACTGTATAAAAAGACCAAAGCCAGGTACAAAAGGCATGTATAGATTAGGCAAAATATTTCATTAAGGCCAAAGTCGCTCTGGATGACCATACAAAAGGCGTGGATATGCAGCGCAAAGCAAACAAGACAAACTTGGCTAAGATACGGATATCTGCCGTAAACAGTCTGCACCTTGCTCTCGTTAGTTATTCCACCCATTACTCAATTACTAAAATGCAGAATCAGGCGATTATTGACGACGACGATGATGATCTCTATGATCCTGCAGACGCAGTGCCGGTAGCTGCATCTCAGAATACTGCCCATCACGCCCAAGCGAACGTCAACCAAGAGCCAGATGACGTCGAGGAGGAAGAGATAGAGGTTGAAGAAGATGATGTATGCTCGTGTTGATTATTCTCTTTATGGCGTATTCTAAATGAGAAACTTGCTAGGATGACTTTAATATTATCACGGAAGCACCTCCTGATGCGCCTCCCCCAGAAGTGTGAGTTCGTCTTCAACAACGCGACAGGGTCGTCTTTTGTCTAACATTTGGTCAAGCCCACATCCCCGTCATGCTAGTCTACGAGCTGAGTCGCAGCGACCTCCATCTGTAGATTCCTCTCCCGTATCGAAGTCAGCTACGCCTTCTGTGACACCGAAAGTTGAACATGCAACTCCGGTTCCAGTTACCGCACGACCCGCCGTACCGCAGAAACCAGGTTCTGCATACCCTCCTATCCACGCTTCAGATATCGACATTCATGCAAACCCAACTCATCCAGCTACTGGTAAACCGATTTTGTCAACTGATATGGATGCGGACTTCCCAGAAGATGATAAGCCATGGAGACGGCCGGGCTCTGACATCTCGGACTACTTCAACTACGGATTCGATGAATTTACATGGGCAAGCTACGTTTTGAAACAGCAAGAGTTACGGAAGGAGGTCGGTGATCAGAAGAGACAATTGGATGATATGCAGAGTTTCTTGACCATGGGGCTTCCGCCGATGCCCGGTGGTCCTCAACCTGGACCCGGAGGTCCCGGTGGTGCACCGCCGCCGATGCCTGGCATGCCGGGTATGCCAGACATGTCTCCAGATATGATGCAGGGAATGCTAGCCAGTATGATGGCGCAGGGCTTGGATCCGTCATCTATGGATCCAATGTCTTTCATGCAACACGCCCAGGCAATGATGGGAGGCCAATCCGGCGCAGGCGGCGGACAACAAGGCCAGCCCGGTTATGGTAACCAAGGCGGTGGCCAACCTCAGATGGGCTATGGAGGTGGATTTGGTGGTGGACGGGGACGGGGCCGGAGATGGTAAAAAAGCTACTGATTCATGTTATGGTCACGTTGTAATTTTTATAATGCGCTGTGTAGCATCCTGGGACGGTTCGGTCTGGTGGAGTTCAATGTGTAACACTCAAAGATACGCCAATAGTTATACCACGGCATTCTTGAGCTTGTGTCTTTTGCGTTCATCTAGGTTATTATGCTCGGGGGAAAGGAGCTCTTATTTGACGACATCCCGCAACAAGCAATAGAATAGTTACATGTCGAGAAGGAAAGAGCCTTCTAAACAGATCTCTGCGATTTCTATAGCGAATGCGACCGCATCTGACGGCAATTGAGTTAAATATGTCGGACGGAAAATGTAAGGTGGTAAATAGAAAGTTGAAGCTTATACCCTCGGTAGCGGCAATCCGATGGGGAAGTGAAGCTGTCGGTCTTGGCATTCTGGAAATTTCTCGTGTCGACTTGAGTCGAGATCTTCTTTCTTCCCTTCCCCGGTCTTCTTCCTCTTCTTCCTTTCTTGCACTCCACACTTCAACCTGCCCGTCCTACTCGACTTATTCTGCATCCTTCAACCCAATTTCTCATCCACTCACATCTCTCCTGTCAAAATGGTACGTGTTCGCAATGGTTACGTGTTATGGGAAGCTTCGGTTGGAACTTTTGCCGCCATCTATCCACTTCATCGTCCCTGTCACTTCCCATAGCGAGCTCGCTGGAGCCCTCGTGAAGATCAACGGCTAACGTAACTATATTGATTAGTCTCTCCTCCGCAACATCAAGGGTCTTGCTCCCCTCCTCGACCGCGTTCTGGTCCAGCGCGTCAAGCCCGAGACCAAGACCGCCTCCGGTATCTTCCTTCCCGAGAGCAGCGTCAAGGAGCAGAACGAGGCCAAGGTCCTCGCCGTTGGCCCCGGTGCCGTCGACAAGAACGGCTCTCGTCTTCCCATGAGCGTTGCTCCCGGTGACCACGTCTTGATCCCTCAGGTACGTTGCTGGCTTGGGTTCTTCTAATTCGCTTCCGGAACCATCCGATGTGCAATAGACACAACCAATTCGTTTGATGAACTCATCGGACAATCTGTGATACTAACGGTGGTCTTATAGTTTGGTGGTAGCTCCGTCAAGGTCGGTGAGGAAGAGTACACCCTTTTCCGGGACCATGAGTAAGTTCCCCGTCTTTTATTCTCTAGCCGGAGACAATCGATTCTAATGCGACTGTAGGCTCCTTGCCAAGATCAAGGAGAACTAGATCAGTTCTTCGTCTTGTTCTTCCGCTTTCCGACTGGTTGAAATAATCCAATCGGAGTCTTGTATTATATCACGCAAATCATGAGCTTCTGTCATGCACTTTAAAATAATCTAAAAAAGAGCCATCTACGAAGTGAGGACGGTGTAAGAATCTGTTCCTCGATCTCCGGGCTAATGCTTCCGTTTCCTTATCTTGCATCTGCTATCTAAAGCGTGAAATGTGTCTGGGTTCCTTTGCATATTATGCGATGTACTTTAGCAATCGTTGTCTCCTGCGCTGTCCGCGGGATGAACACAAGTAATCTGATACGAATGTCTCCTCTCTACTTCGTCTTTGCTGTCTGAGTTTAGGGTACTCCGGGTTTATGCATTTGATTGCAAGTGACCCTATTGCAGCTATTCGCCGGACATGGATTGAGGATTGTAACATCTGTCCGAGGTGGTAGGATATATAAGAGGGATATTCATCGCAAGTGCTTTGCAATCGCTACTTCAACATTTATGCCCAATTGTATACTGGTGAACTGGCGCCAAATAACACCCTACCCAAATAGCGTGGAAATGACAAGCATGGATTTAGCTCTCCTAATATTATCCCTTATAACCACAGCTCAATAATCAAAGTTCAATGCCCAGTCACATTGCCAGTCCTTTTCAAGAATTGCATCAATCTTCTTTCCTATCATGTCTGGAAAGACTCCTTGTCGACGCTCCGGTGACATCTCGATAAATCTGGAGAGGCTGCTCACCTCATTCTCGACGTCATCTAGTGCACTGGAAACATTGTTGCGTATGGGAGTTTCTGCTTTGTGTCTCAAGACGGTCAATATGATTTGTGCAGCATACGGATTCAACCCAACTCGGCGGAGGAATAATTCCCAACGAGTTTCATCCTCCATAGCCTCTGTATCAAACGTGATCTTCGGCGCAGGGTTCACGGGCGTAAATGCTATGCTTTGCGGTAGATTAACAGTATCAGTAGACAATTGAATAGCGTGCTTGTGAGCTAGTGCCAGTATCCATCCTATAATTGTATCAGACGATGGGGAAATCAATATCGGAGAGATAGTTGAATCCGCTGACATCGAATCACAGAAAGCTATTAGTGATGTAAAAGACGCCAACAACCGTCTATCCGCTGTCCATCGTGAAGCATCCCCTCGTCCACTTCTTGGAGAACTTGTGCCATGAGCAACAAATACGTAGAGATATTTGTATCGCGGAGCTAGGAGGAAGATACGTTCGCGGAGCGGCGAGTTGATGCACTTAGTACCGTTCGTCTGTGGGTTAGGCTTATGGCCAGGAAGATATAGCTGCGTAGTAGCTTGTAGAGTAGTAAGTATGATCCCGGTTGTCGGTGAGACAATGATGTCTGCCTCTTTGGGGAGATCGTGTTTGGTGTTTACTTGAGTTGGAACCCAGATGCGAGGAACGGGCTGATTTCGGATGAGCACATCATAGTCTCTGTATATCATAGCTGGAGGGCTCTTTAATCTTTCGAGGCCTTGAATAACTGGGAGATGGCTTTTGAGAAGTGCAGTTGATAAGAAGAGTAGCGGTTGCTCGTTATTTTGGACTTGTAGTTGAGGGTATTGAGGATACCGTTGTTTTGTAAGCTCTAACCCTAGAGGTTGTACCTCCTCTAGCATATATTTTCGTCCTTCATATTCGTGGAGCTTCCTAGCATCTATAACTGGACCCTGATGTCCTACGATATCCTCAACCCGCATATTGTTGGTAAAGTATGGACTGACGGCCGTTACTTGTCGCCTTTCGACCCGGCCTCTAGCCTCCATAAAGGTAGACAAGGAACCCAAAATCGACGACTGTGATGGCAGCGTATACTTGCATTTGTCGTTAGCTAGATATGTGGTTAATGGCTGATCAAGTCTGCGGTCTTTCCGGGACACATCCTGCCTCTCCTCGTGTTTTCGTTTTTGTCCCCCCAACACTGTGTCTACTGGGACTTCGCAATCTATTATATTAGATACTGTATCTGAGGAAGTATTGGTATCAGGTATAGCGGCATCTGGTGACGCATACATGGCCGTCTTGTCACTTTCGAGTTGAGGAGTCGCTGTATCATGCTCAGACAATTGTCGTTGTCCTGCAAATCCCACATCAGTAATACCTTTGTGAGTAAATCTCATTTCCTTACCAGATTTTGTTTGGACAATGTCTTCCACACTTCCGTGGTCTTGAAATGTATGTAAATAACCGTCAGCATGGTTTTTCGAGTTTGGTTGCTGTGAGGAATGCATTTTTGATATGGGGTATTGTTGAACATCCTGATACTGCGTAGAATCTCGATTGAGAGAGTCTATTACCGAAGGGGAACCGAAAGTCGAGATATGATCTGACAGCTTGCTTGTGGTCTGACATTCCCCCTCGACAATCATAACACTGGATGATCGACTTGATCCCTCGTGCGTTGAAGTGCACCCGATTGGCATGCACTTGCTCTCTTGCATAAGAAATATGACTGATGAATCTGAATCAAGGGAGTTGGTATTATCACCAATCTGTTGAGAAACACCCGGAAAACGTTGTTCTTCACTTCTTTTATCCTCTTCTGGAGTAGCCTGAATGGCGCTGTCGCCTCCAACTGTTTCCATTTCTGCTTTGCTTCGGTCAAGTGATACTTTATGGTCTGGTTGAATTCGGTCGTCGCCTATAGGACTGCCTTCTACCTTACTTTGTTCTACCGCACAGTTTGATTTCTTTGAGTCTGAATGGGGTGATCTTCTGTTACACTGCGTCTCAAGCTCAAAGGAGCCAGATGAAGCGGGGCTGGGCGACATCAATGAGATGGAAGCTGGCGAGGGACTTCGATAATACGTTTCATCGACGTCTGATAGAAGTAACAGTGGAGATTTCGAAGGACTGTGTTCTTCCTGCAAATCCACGAAATATATAAGTCTAAGTCCTAACAACATAACTTCAACATTCATACCTGACCGGAGATCATCATGTTGTCTAAAAGACCTTCTAGATCTGCGAAGGGAAGAGTTCCACAGTCTCTGGCTTTTTGTATCAACAACATCGACTCTCTGCTACACTTCAACTTCTCTGGCATAATATCCTTCAGAACTTGGTCAGCCTTGGCTAAAATATCGGCCTTAATATCCTCATCCTCGAGTTTCTGGCAGGATTCATCGAGAGGACGTGTTTCGATCTTGTTCTCGTCGTAACGTAACGGACTTGTATATCGCAACGTATCCACGATGTTGTCTTCGAAAAGAATTGGAAGTTGCACCTTAAGCTCATCAACTTGGCTGAATTTAGGTAGGATCTCATCCCAATCTATGTCTAATTTTTCTGCTCTGGCATCTTGGATCACCGATGCCAGCAAACGAGCGCTTTCTTTCCTGACACTGAGCTTTTCTTTGTGGAGATCATTTTCAACGTTCCTCTGTGTCTCGTAGATATAATCTTGAAATTCCGATAGAGCATCCCTGGGAAGTGGAGTTTCAGATGTGGTTTCGTCGATGTATGTGAGTGGATCGACTGCCGCGAAATCACGGGCGATCCCGTAGAATCGGGCGTATTCTAGAAGAGAAGGTTCCTGAGGATTTTCCATTGAGTGTACCGTTCCTTGGTGCGCGACAAGTCCAATGCTTCGCAGTTTAGAAGTACCTAGAGTAAAGTGTAAGAGAAGTTGGTCCGAGGTCCGCACGTGTCTTGACAGGTTGCAGATGTTTTAAAAATTTAGAGTGTACCTATTGTTACAACCTACAGCACAGTGTCTGCCACTTGCTACCTTGTTTGTTATGGATCCATCTGATAAACAGTCTTATTAGAACGATGCCAATAGAATTATACAAAGTCAATTTCCCGGGTATGTGTAACGCCATTTCCTCAGAATGTTCTCAAGTGTTTCGCTCAGCAGTGAGAAAGAAAAAGAAATAGAAACAAAGGCTTAGTCATTGTAGTTTGACTGACGAGCACCATTCTTGTCTACCGGTGGCAGGTTGTAAAGCGCAATGTGCTCCTCTTCTTGTGATTTGCCGGCCGGGTCCAAGTAGGGTCGTTCGGCCTGAGCAGCGACTCGAACTGCATGACGACGATGGGGTGCAAAACCATAAGACGCCGTGTGGTTCTGTTGAACTCATTAGAGACGTCCACTATTTAGTGTAGCATCGTTACTCACCGTAGTCCGATTGTCCCAGATGGCTAGGTCATCCTTATTCCACTGAAACCGTGCGTGCATCTCTTGTGTGGTTGCAATCACATCGGTGAGATATTTGATAATAGCGTCACTCTCTGTCTTAGGGATCCCAACGATCTTTGTGACGAACCCAGGGTTGAAGAAAAGACTGTTCCAGCCAGTCACCGGGTTGGTGCGGATCAGAGGGTGCTCTGTAGTGACCGGCTCACGACGGACTGGTCGACCGAGGGCTCGTGAGTCAGAAGCTTGCATGTCCGCTGAGTGAAGCGCAGTCAAGCCCTTCAGATATGTCTGCATATGAGAGGAGAGAGCATCGTATGCTGCATACTGAGAAGTCCAAAGTGTATCGCCACCCCCTCCACGGGGTGGCCCTGTGAGAACCTTCAACATTGTGTATGATGGTGGCTGTACCTCGTACGTCACATCCGAGTGCCACAAAAAGCTGGGCGTGAACAATGCCCGCTGGTCGCCAGAATTATCTCCACTGTAAACTACATGAACATCGTCCAAGCCTTGCTTCCTCGGAACGGACGTAGTTGCGTGCTGCATGTTGTTAGATTCACCCATGAGCAGCTAAACTCAGATGGCTTCGTACCTTATGTAGTCTCCCGAAATGTCTACCTAGTTCTCTTTGGGCATCAATGTCCAAGTCCTTTTGGTCACGGAAGAACACCACCCCACGGACAGCGACCAAGCGAGCCAAGTCGTCCTTCTGCGCTTCATCTAACTTGGCCAAGTTCACACCATGAATCTCAGTTCCGATCTTGGGTGTATAGTCAAAAACATCGGTTGCATCGCGCAGTAGGTTACGGAATTTAGGATCCCCGCGAAGTCCTCTGTCTTCATGTGGAATCTCTTCTAGCGGGTCCCAATGAATATCTGGGAATGAAGGTAGAAGTTCTTCATAAGTGTAGTTGTCGTGACGCTCGACGACTGTGCGTCCCGGTGTGTACTGAAACTTGTTGTCACCGATGATGTCTTTCTTTGGAAGGATAACATGGTCCAAGGCTGGAGCCAAGGTCGGTTCCTCAAGTGAAGGCGCCATGTTGTGAGCTGGACGAGCTGTATAGAGAACCAAGTATAGAAGAAATGTGTCTGGATGAGCAGTTCCTTGGAAGCGTCTATGTAGCTTATTTATCGAGCTCGAGGCTCCAGCGGAGGTAGTAATAGACCGCCATTTTCAAACCTGCCGCTATCATTCCACATCATCATCCTCATCGTCAATGCCGGGGGATCGCGGATATGGCACCATCGCTGGCGAAAATCACCCAAGAGGCTGATGGCCAGTACGGATTAGGGGGAGTGATCCACGGGACTAAGTTTCCACAGGCCTTCTGGAATGGAAGATGACAAAACGAGCTGCACATCACGTCATTTTTGCCCTGCGGCATTTTTGCTATGTAGTATATAGTATGTAAGCAGGAGCTTGAGGGGATAAGAAGATATGCAACAGAGGAGGAATCTACCGGTTCTTTTTTTTGTCTATAGAATCGTTTATTTTTATTTCTTGGTTCTTTTGAAAATTTTTAAAAAGTTGTTCCTCTCCTCTACTGTGTTACACAAATAGATGCCGCAAAATTGAGACGAGGAGGTCAATGCCTTGAAACGTCAACCGTCTCTAAGCCAGGTGCCGATCATGGAAAGTGTGGAAACCTGGGGTTGGAAGCGATTAGGTGCGATCACGCAAACCGGCCAAGCTCTTGCGTGCGACAATCTGGTTGGCCTAACGGTTGGGGGAGGTACCCGCAACCACTGGGCAGTTTGGTAACAACTACTTACTAGTTAAGTAGTAGTACTGGTAGTTTGTGGGGGTACATGCATCGTAAGCGAACTTGTCAATCGTATATTCTAGACTGCGTACTTCGTCACACCGTACTTCGTCATGTTTATCATTGAAGAAAATTGGATACTAGAGTCAAACGAAACTGATGAAATGGGAATAGTGCCGGTTAACTGATCTACCGCAGAACGCCTGACCTCGAAAATCATGCTCAGCCATAACATCCAAGCCCTTTCCTTCCCGTTTCAGAGTAAACTAGGGCAAGCTTCATTATATTATACATTGCCAGAAAAGGATTGATTCATTACAAGTTGAGTCTACCCTCGCCGAGAGATGGCGGCCCCAGCACCACTTCTTGAACTTGTTCTGTAACTCCCCCGAGACGGCTGGCAACGCCCAAGATGCCAGCCTCAACGTCCCCAAGCACAACGGCAAGATCATTCAGCACCGATTTAGGCGTCCCCGCAGCGGCTCCATCGCGGCTGCGAGATGTCACGAATTCGTGGATCTGCCGCTCCAGGGTAGCCTCAACGCCATGAAGGTGGTCTTCAATCTCTTTCAAGTTCTGCTTGTAACGTTCGAGGACGGTCCCCATCTCGTCAGAGCGTTGAGAGAAATAATCGACAAGGTTAACAGGTACTCCGTTGACGGTTGTGGAAGAATCGCCTTCGACATCGTCGGGAAGAGCCAAAGTATTCTTGCGTGTCGACCGCAACGATTGTCGATCAGACAATTTTTGGTCTTGAACAGACCACCATCCAGAGCCCCCTGCAGGTTGGAACTGCAAAGGTAGCTTGAGGGTATCAATTGCGCGGAAGCCCACCTGTGCTTCAGCGGCATCACGAGCCACAAGATTCCGTAACTGATCAATATCGCTGGCATCGTTTTCGAGGGCGTGTTGCATTGTTTCCAATTTCCCTTGGACAAACTCCACGTCGTTCGGAATAGATTCTCCCTGGGCAGCAATGCTAGGGATCATGTTTCCCACTTCGTTGCACATCTTGATTTGCGTAAGAACGTAATTGTCGAATACCTCAAGCTCCTTCTTGATCTCGTCGGCACAGCTCTCATACTTGGTCGTCGGTAGAAGGTTGCTCAAGTCCACTTTGACCCCTGGGACTACCGTACCGGCTGCGGCAGTCGGCTGTGCTGGTTGCTGTGTTGCGGTATTTTGGTTTCCAAACAAGGATAACGTAGGCTTTTGAGCTTGCTGCTGTTGTTGCGTGTTGTTTTGGTTCGCACCACCGCTACACCCGCCCGATGGTTAGCTCATAGATATGAGGGTATAGGCAATAGGTATATTTCACTCACAACAGCGATCCACCAGTGTTAGTAGACGTTCCCAAGCCACCGAATAGGGGTTTCGATTGAGTCTGTGCGGTAGAAGCACCCCCGAACAAACCTCCGCCAGCTGTGCCACTCTGCGCTGTGTTTGCATTTGCAGTTCCTGAGAAAAGGCCTCCAGATTGTGGCTGGGAAGTAGTCGCTGTGGAGTTTCCAAACAATCCGCCGCCCCCAGTATTACTTTGTTGTCCGCCTAAGCCTGCAAACATATTTGTCCCGGAAGACTGATTCTGCTGTGTAGTTCCACTAGTCGCGTTGCCGAACAGACCCGTCCCAGGCTTGGATTGTGCTGTAGAGCTTCCAAGGTTACCGAAAAGGCCCGATGTCGTACTCGTCGTTCCTGGTGTAGTTGTGGAAGTTGTCTGCGTATTGGCCCCGCCACTAATTGATGCGACTAGTCATTAGCTTTTCTGGAACACGGTATTTGTGTATACGAATGCACTTTGATAAACAGCGGCAGCACTTTATTTCTAACAAGACCAAAGCAAGAACGAGACAAAGAAGTAACAGGGAAGAGGTGCGCGCGGTAGGATGAAAGCGAAGGGTGGACGACCGGCTTCCTTGTAACACAAGAATCAAGTAATCATTGTCAAAACAGAAAGTAGAAACACAATTAAGCCGCACTAAGCAGATAAGAAAACCAAGGCCTTACAATAGAGAATTGGCAGAATTGGTGTTTATGGAAAGGCCGCCGCCCGCAGGTTTTGCGGAGAACATTATGGAAGGGAATGAGTGCCGCTCGAGCAAAGGGATGGATCGGAAGACGGATTATTGTAGGGAGCCGAAAAGTCTCAGCCGATCTCAATACAGAAAGCAACTCCCCCAAAATTAGTTAAAGGAAAATATCTTAATGAATCTGTTCATGCTGTGGTGAAAACAAAAGTGAAGCGGTCCGAAACAACACTCCAAGCTAGTGATCGATGGAGTAAGATTTTCCGATGCCGGTGCACAGCAGCCTTAAACTTATTTTGAACATCATGTTTAGATCAGTATAAAGTTTTTATTGAACTGCAAATATCTTGCCAGCGGGGACCGTGATTTAGCCCATTCACGGAGACTCTCTGCTGATATATCTCGCATCTAACTATGGTATCTGTGTGACTATCAAACGTTGTTGTCACTGCAATATTTTCTTCGTAGCCAGGAGACGCTTCATGCTGTAGTTCTTCTCTGCGCTGCCTGATAACTATTTAGGCTTAATATCTCGGATATTTTTAATGCTGGACTCATTGATGGCATTATTTGAAAGTTCAATGTGACTTGTCCAGAGAAGGGATCCCCTGCATTTTGAGCTACTGGTATCGTATCTGGATATCAAATCTAAGGTCAACTTCATCCGCAACATTTCTTTTACTCCTGTCATATCGGTTTGCTATGTTTCTCGATTAGCACTCTAGGTACTTTGAACCCGATTTGAGCGAGTGTATACTGCCAATATTTATATTGTCAATCTTACAACCTCAGCACATCATGACTGCAAGTGGTGATACCAGCTCTGCACCTATATGTGTGGCTTCAACTCAACGAGGTGATGGGGCGGGTGATGTACCTTTAGACAGCCATAGTCATGGCACTCTGAGCACCGCATGTTCCGCCGATGAAAGCGTATCCGACGCAAATTATATCAAAAGCGTCGAATGGTATGCTCATGACGACTTTACCTTCTTCGACTTTGACTGACTAGAATGCTGCATGTAGGACTCCCGATGGCACCACCCTTCTAACGGATTCTGCAGATCATCATATAAGGAGTTATATCCTGTTAGTTTATATTATAATGCTCACATATTGCTGTGCTAATAGTTAGCTCAGGCCCCCTGATCTTTTAGAAGAAAGACCGTCACCGCATCGGTTGTCTCCTTACTCTGTACTAGCTTCAGCGGAACCAACCTATGCAACTGCTATATATCCTTATTATTCTCTTCAGGATCCATCTACTACACTTTTCTTATCATCGGTTCGAGATCATCCTATCAGACTGGCCTCAACTCTTGCTCCTACGTTGTTGGCGACTTATTCCTTGATACACCCAACCACGGAAGCTTTTATAACGCCACATTCAATTATCTATCCGTACGCCCTCGGTGGAACGCATTTTCTCACTGGGTCAGATAGCCTTATATGTCTTTTTGACGTTTCCCGACCTGGTAGCGATGGACCTGTTTCTTGGATGCCCACTATACCAAGTAAGCGTAAACAGACAGTGGGTGGGGGCGTTGGAATGAAGGGTATCATTTCCGCTATGGCCATCAATCCGACAGGAGATGGTATATTAGCAGCTGGCACCTTCTCAAGACATGTGGGATTATATGACTCAAACGGAACCGGACAGTCCTTAGGCACGTTTAGCATTGCAAAGACCGACGCTAGTCGTCGTATTGGGGGTCGAGGTATCACTCAGCTTTTTTGGAGTCCTTGTGGACGATATCTATACATCGCTGAACGAAAGAGTGACGGCGTTATGATATACGATATCCGGGTAACTGGCCAATTGCTTGGCTGGTTAGAAGGTCGCAAGGCCATCACTAACCAACGGATGAAGGTTGACATCGTCTCTACCAATCAAGGTGTATCGCATGAGATCTGGGCTGGAGGAACTGACGGTTTCATGAGGGTATGGCGTGACCCGACACATACTGCTGGAGGACAGGAACCAGTATGGGAATGGAAGATCCATGATGGTACGTATTATCTATCCGGTCTACTCTAATGCAATCACTGACCTTGGTCCGCATAGACTCGGTGAGCAGTACTGTACTACATCCAATGGGCAACGTTGTGGCTACATGCTCTGGACAAAGACACTACTTAGATGATGATGACTACTCGTATCCCACAGAAAAGCTTGACAATAGCATGAAAGTATGGTCTCTGCCATTCCTTGAGGACTGCTGAATATGAGTCAGTTGCTTTTAATTTCATTATTCACTCCAACTGCATCCGGGACCGGTCAGATTTTTTTGATGTTCGCAACGCTGCTATGAGCCATCTTTATGGATGAGACAGCTAGGGAAGGGAAAGGAGGTCATCAAAGAATAGCCACTGCAATTCCTCAGAGGACCACCTCGGAGCAGTGAGGGAATTTATAGCAGGCTACCATAATCGCCGAGTCAGATGAACCTAGATGGCCTTTTTCAGGTGAAAGGAACTCTTGAAAGCACTATAGGGTTTCCAATGGGGACGCAAGATCAGGCAAGTCTGCTTTTCAATATTTGTCCATTTTCTACATAATCAAGTGACTTTCTCTCATTGAACCCTATCAGCCAGGCTATTATGGCTCGATCGATATATATAGCGACGGGGAGGGAGTTGTGTGTGGAAGCTTGGAGACGTTTATATGCCGATCAACATGTTCATTGTTTCTGGATATCTTAATGCAACAGTGCCATTGTCGGCTGAAGACAATCGACTTGTGGACTGTTGAGACTAATACCAATACATACTTCCCTGTTCTTCACCATTTTAGTTACTGGATAACATTAGCCCTTTTGGTTGACATGGTGAATTCTGTTAGCCCTGAATAAGGACCCCTGGACGCTATTGTTCCTGCATTGATGTGAAACGAAGGGTTGTTGACAGTCACTCTGATTGTTTTCCCCTTTGGGAATATCATCAGTTTCCAGACCAACAGCAACGCGGCATCTTCCCGGTGTGAAATTCACATTTTCGCTTAAATACAACATCTCTTTGATGAATGACCTCCCCATTCGCACCTTGATCCCCACACCCATTTTCTAGACATTCCTATTCATTTCCTCTTCCCTCCCTATGAAGCTAATGCTTCACAGACACTTTCTTCACTGGTTCTATACTATATCACTCTTTTGATGTATAGACGTCTTCCTTCTATTCTACTAAATTCAGATGATTCTCCTCTTCCCAGAGCTTCTTCTTCTCTTTGCTTCTTTCTTCCTCTCAACCTCGTGAATTTCCCACCATTCCTGGAATTCTGTGCTGAGCTGCTTTTCCCTGGCATTGGGTGGCTGTAAACATCTGCTACCCTTTGATAATCTTCACGATGTCTCAATTTACGGAGTGGTATTACCAAGATTGGGAGCAGCAGCTGTTGCACCTGGATCAACCGCATGCTTCGAACCCTGCCTTAAACGCTGACTTTGGCTACAATAGCTTTCTCATGAGCAATGACACGTAAGTTCGCAGTGACGTCGAGGCTGGCCAGAGACTGGGCTAATATTTGCTATAGCAACTGGGCATCTGGCGGGTTCGTGAATGGAGCACCTGTGGAAGACACGTTCGAGGTCCCTAACCCTGACATTTTCAGCGGAGCTCATAGCATGCCTACAAGAAGTCGCTCGACCGCTATGATACCGATGACTGGTATGCCTCAGCATTCTGGAAACAGGATCTCGCGTGTTGGTGGTGCAGAGTATGTTGTATCCATCGTATCATAGTGATGTGTGTTTCTTACTCATACATCTACCAGTGCTGAGGACTTCGCGATCAGCTCAGGTGCTTCTGCATCTGGTCCTGAACTCGGCTCCAGCCCTCCATACATGCCCTTAGGCATTATGACAGGTGGTGCAAGTTACGACGACAGTTCTAACAATAGCCCCGCGAGCAGAACATATACCGACTTGCCGTCATACGGTAATACACATTTCCCTCGCAATTTGTCTGCCCCTGCCCTGGGCAACAATGTCGGCGGTGGTGAGCTTGGTGGTGGCACACGCCCTTCTTCATTGCCCACCTCTGCACCTCTAAACAGTGGCCGTGAATCAGAAACAACGTTTACCGATGTAAATGTACCACCAATTATTCGGGACTATCAAAAGCTCATGGATCCTCTTAAAAACAATGTCGACGTCGACACATATTACGCCTCTCTTGAAGAGGCCAATGAATCTCAGCGCCCCAGCGTTCGACTCCCAGAAGATCCCACCATTCCTCATACCCAGATACAGAAGCGTGCAATCGTCAAACAAATGTGTAACGCTATGGCAAGCGCCCATCGTGCGCAAGACAACAAACCTATGATCAAACCTTTTAAAGATGGTAGATACAGCGATCGGCGAATGGAAGCGGCATGCTGGCAAGTCTTGGTAAGTAGGACATGTTGCTTCCTTGCGACATTGCTAACATACTTCGAGGAAACGGCCATTGAGCGGCACACTTTTGGTCCATTGTTGAGTGCCTTTGATGTCAAACCGAAGAACCATGAGATGGTAACATTTGCCACCAGGATTGACAAGATCATCGAATGTCTCATGCTTCACAAGACTATTTGCAAGCATCTCCTCGACCCGCTTTATGTCTATCACTTTGTTGACGATCCTGTTCAGGCTGAGAAACGCGTGGTTGCAAACAGGCTGTTAAACAAACGCAAAGGAGAAGTGATGAATGCAGGAAAGCAAGTCCTCGGTACCAGAAAGCCTGGTGCCAAAAAGAGGTCTGGCAAAGCTGCTAAAGCCGTTACCCCACCCACAGATGAAGCTCCTTCAGATACTCCTGCAAGCTCGAGCACTGGTATTGAAGGTGGGACACTTACTCCTGACGGGCTCACTCGGATGGTGAAAGCTGAGCAAATGAGCTCCTCTCCCATGCCTAGCATGGGTACGCCAACTCAAACATATACTGCAGCCCAGCAGTATTCGTCTCCCCCTATGATGGGAAACCTTGCTATGTCGCACATGCATAATCGCCGGATGATTGCGCCCACCTCCCACCCGAGGCCCATAATGATGAACCCAAACATGCCTTACCATTCTCGTGGTGGCTCTATCAATCTTGCTACCAGACGTAAACGTCCCATGGGTGACTATGAGGCCTCTTCTCCTGGGAAGCGCCAGCGCTAGTGTCTGATATTGATCCCGAGAAACGCCCGCCTCGCCTCGAAGAACATACGAAGCCAATCCTGCACCCAGCTTTGTAATGTCTCTCGTGCTAACTATTTTCCCTTTCTTTTACGTTTCTTTTGTTACTTGTTTGCTTATCCATTCCTATTGTCTAAGCGTATCAACTCCCCGGTAACTCTCTCCATCTTTCTTGCTTTCTGTGCCTCTCGTTGCCTTCTGCAATATCTGACCTATTTTGGAAACTGACCTTATGAAAGTGAATATCGAGTTGGGGTGCCATGGACTTCAGGGCGATCGATGTCTCTGTCTCTCAGTGGACTTTCTTGCCTAGTGGTTGGGAACCATGCAATACACTGCAACTGCATCATTTGGAAACCTTGCCATCTGCCGTTCAATTAGTGAGAAATTGGTTGTTGTTTATTCAACTCTTCTCAGAGTCGTCATACGATTGAGACGTCATCAATTTAACGATGCTCTTTGTGTAGCTATACCATTTTTTTTTTTTTTTTTTTTTGCTTCACCTGGTATCCTCTGGAAATGACTTTATTTAATGCAACACCACATGGGTATCTTAGATTTCATGTACAGGCTCAATCCCTGGTAATCAGGTTAATGTTTCTATCCACTAGTCTATGCAGGTTGAATGCCATATTTCTCGTACGGGAAGTTTTCCAAAGTAGGAAGCAAATCTCCAAGTCCATCGTTAAGCTGGCCAGGTTTCCCCGAGCTTCGCCCCAGTCTACCCGCAACAAGCTCATCGGCCTCATGTTCAGCCATAGACTTCTCCTCCTCCTTATGTTCACCAGTCAAACCAGCCAAAACTTCGGCTTCCCGGCCTTTATAAGCTCCCAACAAGCCAGGATGAGGGCACCAAACGACCCTCATACCAGCTCTTCTTCCCGCCTCAACCCCAGGAACGGCGTCCTCAAAGACCAGACACTCCTCAGGTGTGATTTCCTTCTCTCCCTTCTGCCGTAATTTGGAATTGATGGTCTCCAGTGCAATCAAGTAAATATCCGGCAAGGGCTTGCCCCTTCCCTTCCCAATCCGGGGATCATCGCCCAAAACACGCTGGGACTCGGGAAACGCCGCGAAGAGATCCTGCAAGTGGTCCGACTTCAACTTGTAGTTCCTGCTGTGCGAAGAGGTAGCCAATGCGATGTAAACGGGTTTATCGGTTTTCTGCGTTGAGACGAGCTTTTCCAGGAGTTCGCGCACACCGGGCAGAGGCTGCGATTCGGGGAAGTATTTGCTCTGCAGGGCGGCTTGTTTCGCGGAATATTCTTCCGGTGAGATGGAGAGTTGAGCCCAGTCGTAGAAGATCTTGAAGGCCTAGTTGTTCCAATGGTATTAGCTAGATTGATATTGAGGCACCTTTGTGGGCATTTTGGGGGGGTATCCGTGCGATTAAAAGGCGTCGCATGTGATGATTTAACGTACCTCTGGTTGAGGGCGGCCCTGAAGCTGGGCCTTGATGGACCATGGGAGCGAGGGCTTTCCGTATTCGTGGAGAATGGAATTTGTAATGTCGGTGTATTTGTCCTCCGAGTCAATTAGGAGTCCATCCATGTCGAAGAGACATGCCCGCACGGGGGGCAGACTTGAGTTTGTTATTATCGAATGTCTGTTTACTTCAGGATGGTAGGACTTACTTTGGGGTGGAAATCGTCATTTTGCGATAGGGGTATAGTGTCTATATACGAAGTGCGACGTGAATGTACAGCGTGGTAGATCAATTGTCTCTACTCCGCACTTTGATAGAGGGATTCTTGACAAGGGCGGGGCAAAGATGGAGGGGATAACAATGGCTTGTGCTGCCTGAGGCTAAAGACCGATATGACCGAGCCAATCGGTGAACGGGTTATCGTCCCGCTCCGAAGTCTATCTCATTATAAGCTGCGGGAACGGCAGCGGTGTAATTGATCTACTAACAATTCCGAACGCTCCATCTCAAAGTTGTGCGAATAGCTAGATACACTCAAAATGTCAAGCAATACGCCTATGGAACGTATGGATAATGCAGGGAGCGACAGTGAAGACGAGGATGTCTTTCATGATGCTAGATTTCCCGCCGAAGAAGAAGCTGTGAGTTTACTGGGCCTTTTCATGAGAGAAGCTATCATGCTTACATTTGCTCGTAAATAGCAACTCCTAGAGGAATCTCACTCTATAAAGGCCGAAGCCAACAAGTTGTTTACCGCGGCCTGCTACGACCAAGCGATATCCTGCTACGATCGTGCCCTTGCCTCGTGTCCGAATTACCTCGATTACGAAGTCGCCGTGCTACGGAGTAATATGGCTGCGTGCTACCTGAAGCTGGAAGACTGGAAGGCCTCCGTTGATTCAGCAACGGCATGTCTTGACTGTCTAGAGAAAGTGCTCCCGTCGGCGACTGAGAATTCCGACACTCCCCAGGAAAAGCAGCACGAGTCGGTCTCGACAGATTCCGTGGTGGAAATTACTGGCGATGATGAAGAGGCAGAACAAGAAGAGCTCAAGCGGTTGCAGAAGGTTGACGAGAGGAAAAATGATGTTATGCGAATTCGGGCAAAGGCACTTATGCGACGCGCACGAGCAAAGTCGCAGCTTAGCGGATGGGGGAATTTGCAAGGAGCCGAAGAAGACTATAAGTTGCTTGCCAGTATGGATAATTTACCGCCCGATGACAGGCGCGTTGTGCAAAAGGCTCTTCGGGAGCTTCCGGAAAAGATAGCCAAGGCAAGAGAAAAAGAAATGGCGGAAATGATGGGCAAATTAAAAGACGTGAGCCTGTCTATCCTCTGCTTAAAATCAGTGTCATGCACGCTAACCAATGTTCCAGCTCGGTAACGGAATCCTCAAGCCATTTGGGCTCTCGACTGATAATTTCAAATTCACCCAAGATCCGAAGACGGGTGGATATAGCATGAACTTCCAGTCTTAGACTAGCGTTTCATCCATGCATTCTGTCCCAATCTTCTATAAGCGTTTTGCATTGAATTAGGCGTTTCCTTTCTGCGGCATCGTTGGTGGCACCGAGGGGTGATAGAAGATTTATTCATTATCTTATCTACGTTATGGTGAACTTTGGCTTTCCCTCTGTTTTTGGAGCATTTTAAAGCATTCAACCTTCACAGTGAGCGCCGTTTATGATCGGCCTGGCGCTACAAGTGGATGAGGGATCTCTACAGGGAATACTGAGTTCTCAATTCCAGTATCAAACTTCACTCTGATTTGATTGCATGGCAGGTCATCAGGTACAGGTATAGGTGGCAAACGCCTTTGCCATCCATCGATCTCCCAAGGACTTACGGCCGAAAGCCCATCGGAAGAGTTTTACTACGATACTCATGTCTATCGAGTTACATCCCTTGTGAACTATCCCATATAAGGGTGGCACATACACGGACGATGGGGTGCCTTTCAATTTGTCCGGATACCTTCTGCAGAAAAGGTCAACTAACCTACCTTGGTGATTTAGCAGCTAACGCAACATCAGCAAAACCTGCGCTTTTAGATTTCACAACCTGTATACAAGGAATCAATGAGTGACTGAAAAAGATGGATACATACGACCGTTCCATACCTTCGGCCGATTCCTTCCTTTACAATGTTTGATTCCCATGCTGGGAGTAGTCTGTGCACCTTCTACGATGTCCTTTACCTTTGGGACTAAGAATTTGTCAAATCCGTACATTGAAGAGATGGTTTGGAAGAGAAACGTTAAATGTAATAGATAGATCACCAGAAATTCTGTCGAGCTACCTAGTGTCTTACTATTTCTATATTGTAGAAATTAGGCTTTTGTGGTCCTAGCTCTGGGAGCTCTACGAAAACTTCCGTGTCATAAAAATCACGTCCAATTCAACTCTTGTCAGACCCCCCTTTTTCTTCTCCAACCCAATCCCCACATTTTGGTTGCCCGAGGTTGGGGCGCTGAACGGTAGTTGTTAGCGGATGTAAGCCGATGCGGTCACTAATAGATTGACTGCTCGACGGAGGTGTCAACCATAGCATTTGCTTCTTCCTCTTCCTGCAAAACTTTTTGAAAACCAAAGTATCAGATACACGTACTCTGTACAATTAAGCTTATTTCCATATACCGGGGTAGTGAATTAGTTAATTGACATAGTAGAACCTTACTAATCGGAAGACCGGAACATGGGGTATGGTTTCGTTTCCGATGGGTCTCAAATGTGCAGAAGTAGTCTAAGCCCATTAGATCCATAACTTATTTATTTAGTTCTAGACTAAGGATATTTAACTTGGATTGAACTTGAACCCCCGCTTCATCTATTTCTTTCTTGTAAACGTTTCTTATCCCACTGTAATTGTTCAAAAAATGGCTACAACAACCATCCAAACGAAGCACTTGGGGCAGATCCGGGGCAAGACCGCTGCAGGCGTAACACAGTTCCTGGGGGTCCAATACGCTACTCTCGAGAATAGACTTGCCGATGCACAACTCGTGGAGAAGCGCGACGGCGGTATTCTCGATGCGACAAAGGACGGGTGCGAGAATCACATAGAAATGTTACATACCCCTTTCCTTTCCTTGAAGCTAACGTGAGATAACCTTACGCAGACCAACAGCTATCTTACCGTCGTTCGGATGTGATGTAGAGCTGGCCGCCATCCAGCATAAGTTGCCTGCGAAAGAGCTCCCGCAGTCGGGTATCGACTGTCTCAATTTAAACATCGCCGTTCCCGAGGGCACTACAGAATCCTCGAAACTCCCGGTGTTTGTCTTTGTTCATGGCGGGGGTCTGCAGATTGGAGCCAATTCGTGGCCGCAACTTGAGTTTATGCGGTTTGTAAAATTGTCCGCTGAGAAGAACTTGCCCGTTATCGCAGTTTCGATCAAGTAAGGCGATCTATCGGAGAACCTCTTCTTGGCAAGACTTTGGACTAACGGAACTCAACAAGTTATCGGTTGGGGGTTTTTGGCTTCTTGACTTCCCATGAGCTTCGAAAGGCCGGTTATAAAGCTAACAACGGCCTCCGGGACCAACGAGTCGCACTTGAATGGGTGCGAAGGCACATCGCTGATTTTGGAGGAGATCCAGAAAATGTTACAGCAGCTGGGGAAAGCGCTGGTGCAGGTATTGATTGCTAGCTATGCACATCGGTTTAGACACTAGGGCTAACTCTTCCAAGCATCGGTGATATATCACCTGAACTCCGAAGTTGCTCTGTTTAAGAGAGCTATTGCCATGAGTGGCAGTAACCTCTTTACTCAAGCTTTGCCGTACGAGACTCATGAGCAAAACTATCAGCGAGCGATATCCGCATTGGGCTTGAAAGATGCCAGCATAGAAGAGAGAATTCAGATTCTGTTGGAAAAGCCAGCACAAGAGCTGATTGCTATATTGCCTCCCTCGATTCTGGCTACTCCCGCAGTAGACGGTGATTTGGTGACATCAGCTGCCACGCATGCCCAAACAGCTGATAAAACCTCTAATTTGCCAAAGAGAAGAGATTGGTGTACTGATTTGATGATCGGCGACTGTCAGATGGATGTGAGTCCGGTTCTCTCAGGGATCATGATATGCTTAGCACAAGCTGACGCTGTTATACGATTTAGGCCAGCATCATAGCATTAATCATGCCGGACCTAAAGGAAAACTGTGCGCAGAAATTTACCACAGCCATGAACAACGTACTATCATCACAACTGGACGTGGCGCAACGCATCCTGAGTGAATATGGTATCAGCAAGGGCATGGCCGACGAGGAGGCACTACCTGCAGTACTTAACTACATCAATGATATCTGTTTCTTTGCACCTGTTCTGACCCTCACACGGGGCTGGAGAGGGAACTCTCACGTTTACTACTTCAATGAAGGGAACCCCTGGGAGGGACCATGGAAAGGAAAGGCAACCCACATTCTTGACGTTGCCTATCTAACTCAGAACTTTCAAGAGTTCATGACACCCTCCCAGCAGCTTGTTGCGACCACATATGCAGAAGACATCTTCAAGTTCTGTCACGGCACCAACCCATGGCCAGCAGTCACAGACGGTGATGTCACTACCAATTTCACGGCAAGAGTGTATGGCCCTAGCTCTGAAGGGCATGATGTTAGGCTAGTGAGTGAGCCGTACAGAGGTGAGAGCCATCGGAGAAGCATCTTGTTTGACTGCAACGATGTAGTCTCTCTGGACGAGCTGGCCGGAGTATTCAATGTTTTCAGGACTATGTGATGGTCGTGAAGTGGACTGATGTGTATTTAGTCGTCGACTTCGAAATCAAACCAAGTTCTCAGGTTTCTTGTAGATCATAAATCTGCACTCCAGGTTCAACCATGGCAGGGAAAAGAAGTAATATCAAGCAATTCCTTGTGGACTACTTACTATGAGAGCAACAATATATAAGATGTCTACCCCACTTGGCTTAATATCCAATTAGAAAATTCTTCGCGGAGCTGAAAGGTTCCATTTAGAATTATTATTATACTTTTGAGAACTCTGAAAACTTACAAAGGTAGTGTCTTGCTGTTGGAAGAGACATATGTGACACTTTCATTTCCACACCTCTACTTTACATCCACCTCGAAGAGTAGCCACCTGATAGCCGATGAGATGTTTCTAGCTACTTTCGAGTAATTGTACATACCATCATTAAATGAAGCAGTCGTATCTTCACCAAGGAAGGATGAATGAACGTCCTTCTATCTGGATACTCATGCGCGAAGCCCTCAACACTGATAAACCAGTAGAATGTCAGCCTGAAGTACGTTTTCTAATACCTAACCCTATAAGTAATTAGCGAGACATCTGTGCCTATGAATACAATGCCTTAAAATGTAAGAAGTCTGACGGTTGCCCGGTAACTGTAATATCCATATATTCAACTTGGACACATAGCATAGAATTGTAATGACTTTCAGCAAGTATGGTAAAACTATAGTTGAACCGTGGGAGATTTTTGAGTAAACGCTATAGTTAGTTCAAGGAAAATATATTATTTCTACGTGTAATACTACAGTTTCACACCCGGTTATAGTAAAATTATAACTATTTATATATTAGTCAATTGACTATATATGCCTCATTATAATTTTACTGAAACGTTATAGATATGTAGTGTGATACACAAAATATGCCTTAAAATGATTGCCAGAAACCACTTGATATTGATTCCCTGGCAAGAGATTCGAGTTCCAAGTTGGGAATTTGTACTTCCTCTTTTTATCCATAGTTTTGCTCTTCCCGAAATGAAACTACCTCATGCATTACACTGCTAAATCGGGTTGGATCTCTCTCTCAAGGTACAAAAGAAATAAGAACCAAAAAAAAAAAAAAAAAAAAAAGGGAGAGAGAGAGAGAGGGAGACAGAAAATAGACGCGTGTATGTCTTACAACCCATAGCAGGTGTTGAGATGAGGTATGGGAGCAACCTTTGGTTTCATAAAATTACTTTAAATGTTGGAAATTAATTCCGCTTTAGACGATTTAAAATTCCATTGAATTTCGTATCACCGGTTGCGGAAAGTCGCATTGTACATTATTATACTAGTTGATAACCTATTCGAATACCATCCAATACCTTGCCGGAAATATTGAGCCCTCCGAAAGTTTACAGGAATTCCCAACCCATCCTTAGACCATTCCATGGAGCGAGATTATAAGGGAACGAGTAGAGTTGAAGCTACTCAATTCAAATGGAGATAGGCTTGGATACAATTTTGGGTTATGAACATGTGGATCTGGTGATAGACTAAACTGTTGTCTATCGCAATCGACCTATTTCAATATTCGTGTACATATATGATCCAAAAAGACTTAAGCGTTTCTGGACCTGTATTTCGAGCTGGGATAGCAAATCGAACCTTTTTGCCTTTTATATTGATGTATGGAAGGTAGAAACGCCCACAGATCTCCATAATAATAAACCTAGCATGGTACAAGCACTAGGCCAAGTCTAATTTTTGGATCCATTGACGTGATCCATTGACTGGCAACACGTACACCTGACATTGCTCAAGACTGTATAATCCGTATAAATCTCTATGCATCAATCTTGCTGACCTTAAGCTGAATCCCGTCTCGTGGTTTTAGGAGGATCCGATATCTTTTTAGCTCCTCCGGATCTCGGACGGCAGGGTCAGGAGCGAACTCGAATTTGCTTAAGAGACAACAGAGCATTATCTTCGCCTCCGTGTCAGCAAATTTGCGGCCTATGCAACCACGAGGTCCATGGCTGAATGGAATGAAGGAGTTATTCGTGTAAGAGGCTGGAAGACAGTCCCATCTGTCTGGATCAAAGGCATTGGGGTTAGGTCCCCAATATTCGGGCATCCGGTGGATCGTATTGACTGGGATACAGATAGAGGTGCCCTTCGGAATAAAATACTCCCCAATCCTTTCATCCGTTACAGTCTCGCGTGGCACGATGGGCACAGGAGGAATGTATCTCAAGGACTCACGACAAACATTATTGAGATATGGTAGACGATCCACATTGGCTTCCGTAAAATTGGCATGTTCCCACGTGGCGCTTCTAAAGAGGAAGGGGAAATGAGAACGTATCTCCTCGCGCAGCTTAACTTGTATGTGTTGGTGCTTGCTAAGAAGATGGAGAGTCCATGACAACCAGGTGGCACTTGTATCTTGGCCCGCTCCAAGAAAAGTGGCAATTTGAGCGCACTTTATATTCATGTCCTCGTCCACATCTTCAAGCTTCCTGTCATCACGGACAATTTGGGACAATATGCTAGTACTGGTCAAATCAGGAATAGCCTCTTTGTCCTTGATCAGAGCTGATGCAAATTCAAAAAGGGTGCGCTTGGCTACATCGACATCACGATTTGCTGCTGTAGGAATATACCGAGCAAGTGGGGACAGAATATGGAGCACAGTTATGAGTCCCGTGGCAGCATTGAATTTGAAGACTTGGCGGAATGCCTGTAGCACAGGTGCACCTGGATTGTGAAGTGTGTTGAGCTTGACCCCAAAGCCAACAGCGGTAATGATATCGAGACTAGCTCGCGAGGTCCAGTCTGAAATATTCAGAGAAACAATGTCATCCCTGCTATCATTGATTTCCTGCTCCCAGTAGTTAGACATAGCGTAGGAATATTGCCAGAAGGCCGGAACAAGTGCTTTAATTGCGCTTATAGAGAAAGCAGGGTTGAGTGCCTTTCGCTGTTTGGCATGCACTTCTCCTGCTGCCGAGAAAATGCCATCTCCAAATATCCGAGAAAATGCTACTCTAAGGCTGATGTTTCTTTCATAGTTGTATGGAGCTTCGAGCATGATATGCTTGATTGCAGAGTCGTCCACCACAGACAGGACCTCCGTTCCAAGGAGGTAAAAGTATCGAACAATAGGGCCATGGTTTTTATGCCACTCCCGATGGGCCGTACCAGCTTCGGTTCTGCTGATCTTGAATATTTGACCCCACAATGGACATCCTGATACTGTAGGAACATGTCGGAGGGGAGATAGATAGTAGGGGTAAATGTACGACCAGTACAGCACATAAACGGCAAAGGCAATTGAATATGTCCATACCCTGGTGCTTTCTTTTTCAAAGTTCATAAACCGTGATAGCGTATAGATTGTAATGGTTGCAATAGAAACCAGGGGCAAAAATCGTAATGTAAAAAGCGCCATCATGGGTTCCTCATAGGTCACGAAAGACTATAAGTTGAAGGCCAACAGAAGAGGAATACTACGCCCATCTTAACTATGTACTACGGGCCCCCAGCATATACGGATTTAGAACTCCTCGGCTCCGTATATTTTTTGAAAATTAGAACTTCTCCGCTGGTATTCTACGTCATCTTTTTTTAAAGTTTTGCGGCCACTAACCATGGCAACGATATCCAACATGATTAGTTGAAACGTTCGCAGGGACCAACTACGGTAAGGCACTCTCACGCATACTATGTAACCTAGTGCGAACTATATAAATATCCAAGGTTACAAGCGGGCTTTTAGTGTGGGAATACTTTTACTTTCCACTTATTACAAGTGAAGTTATCTAGACCACGCGCGAGTGGAAGTCGGTGCGGGCTACCTGGGTAGTGAGCTTATAAGTACTACCCTAGGAAAGCATGGATCCATGGCATTGTAACCGGAGATCAGTGTTGCGTCAAAGGAAAGCTCCATGTAACCACTCATGCTTTTTTGCCTGGATACTTATTCTATACCGCTGGTCACAACCCAAAGCGAAAGGATCTTGTGTGGATGCAAACGGGTTCATTTGGGCTGCGCGACTGGCAAAACTCTCAAAGAGGAAAAGATACACGAACACACCCACCAGCCCCAACAGCGTTCTAAAAAACTGCACTTTCAAATAAATCATTTAACTTATATGTTAAAATGTCTGGCCCACTATTCTTTTTTTTTTTTCTTTTTTTTTTTTTTTTTCCGGGATACCCGTTTACGATTTGATGTTTCTGTGTCTTTATTATTATTGACTGACTGATTGTATACGATTCGCTCTTCAGCATTTCATACGATTGATGGGTGGACACTTTTTTTTTGCCTGCCTTGTGGGAGAAATCCACATACCACCATGATAGTTTGGAGGAGTACGATGCCGGAAAGAGTAAAGCTACTTGGTATTGATAACTTATCCCTGGATGGGTACATCCTGAGGTAATGGATGTTGACATATTACTTCTACAGCTTCCCTAAACACCCGAAAAAGAGTAGTATGAATTAACTCTAACAATGAGCATAGTATAATCCCAAATATTGCTAGCCCTTCCACATCAATACCATCATAATCCAAAGAATCGCAATGGCCTCTACAGGCGCACCCCCACCTTACTCAATAAACAACAGTACTTCGACCCATAAAACTGAGACTTCGTCTTTTGAGTGTATTGGTTCAACAGGAGACAACTTAGAATCACAAAGATGGGCTGAACAGCCCGTGGAGTCGAGTGTTGGGGAAGGGATTGAACCTTTGTGGAAACCAAGTCTTGTGGACTGGTTGACTATTTTGATGCTACTACTGCTCTCCATGATGATCACTATAGATGGCACAATCTTGGCGTCCATATTACCGGTTTGTCAAATATTCTCCGTCAACGCTTACACATTATCTAACTAAAATAAAGTCCCTGACGGCGTCACTGAAGATGAGCTCAGCGGATGCATTTTGGTGTGGAACGGGATACCTACTGTCATGCGCCATCACGCAACCCTACTTCACCACACTGTCTGGGTTCGTACAACGTCGGTGCCAAATGCTTCTAGCATTGGGGCTGTTCACTGCTGGGACTCTGATATGCTGTCTTTCGAAGCATTTTGCACAAATGATCTCTGGCCGTGTGATCCAAGGTATCGGTGCAGGCGGTGTAGCGTCGGGGTCTTTTATATTACTAGCAGACCTCGTACCGCTCAGAGAGCGGCCTATGTACTGTGGTCTTGTGGTTCTATTTGGCGCAGTTGGTGCAGTGATAGGACCGCTTCTTGGGGGGTTATTTATCGACCATCTGAACTGGCGGTGGGCGTTCTATATCAACTTTCCGTTTCTCCTTGTCATATTTGGGCAACTAATTTTCGTACCTCTGCCCCTACAACATACACAGGAATCTACCCATCGAATTGGGTCTCTCGATTGGGCTGGTGGCGTACTATTTCTCACAAGTGCGGGAAGCTTTCTTATCGGTTTAAGCTGGGGTGGTGTTCAATATCCATGGAACAGCTGGAAAACCTATGTTCCTATTATTCTGGGAGGTCTGGGACTCATTGCAACTATGTTCTGGGAAGGATATATGACCCCTAACCCAATTCTCCATATCCACTTATTCAAAAGCGTCCGGCAAATTTCCGCCTATATATTGGTCTTCTTCCACGGCTTTCTGGTAGGTGCATATGCTATTGCCGTATATCAAGACCGTTCACTAATAATGTCAGAACTTGAGCGAGCTATATTGCATCCCAATCTACTTTCAATCGGCCAAGCTCCGGAGTGCGACCAGCGCTAGTATTACCTTGATACCTATTACAGCTGCAATTCTACCAGCCGCAGCCGTTACAGGAATTTTAATTACAAGATTTGGCTATATTCACTGGCCACTGTGGCTGTCGTGGATAATCACAGTTATAGCCACCGGCTGCCTTATCTCATGGGATACAAGTACAACTACAGTGCAATGGGCTCTCAACCTTGTAGCTGTTGGCGTCGGTCATGGTATCACCCTGTCTTCTCTGAATTCATGTGTACAAGTTCTGGCAGACCCAAAAGACACGAGCTATGCCTTCGCGATGTACGCCTTTGTCCGTACAATAGGAATGTGCGTCGGAGTGCCAGTGGGTGGCACAACATTCAGCAATAGGTTGAAGTTCCACGCTCACAACCTGGGACTCCCTGCTGAGATAGGAGGGAATATGGTGGGAGCTATTGATGCTTTTAAAGATATGACGGCTACTGCAGAGCAGGTGGAGGTTTTCAAACTCGCATATGCCAGGGCATTCCGCAACGTGGCCGAAGCTCTGACAGGAATTGCTGTACTAGGTCTTATTGTTTCGGTGTTTGTTCGGCGTGTCAGACTCTAACTTGGTCTGGTAGCATAAAGGAAGTGTGGAATGAAAGAACATCCCGTTCAACTACCTAAAAATGTCTGGATAGCTTAGGCGTCTCTATAGGATAATTTATAGGGCATTCTCAGGTTGACAGGAAGCTTGATCTCAGGTTTTGGAGCCACTGTCAATGAAGGTGATTATCTTTCGTCTCTGGCAAAGACTAGCCATTGCCATGCAGGCCGTTGTATCGAATCTATTCGTAATATATCCACTTCCTAAGTGCTTGTAAATTTTGATCACGATGTTGTTTTCCTCGCTCAGGGTCCGTATGATTGAATATCACAAGGAAACGCATGAAAAGCTAAAGGAATATTCGTAAGAATTGGCGATTCCCCATTGGACCAACCATAATTCATTTCTTAAAAACGTACATTGATGAAAATTTGCCAAGCCCTACCTAATGATAGCTCGGAAAACTTTACCACGTTACTGCTGTGTCATTGAAAAGAATTCGTGGTGCCCACGAGTCTGGTCTAAGTGGAGATGAGAAATTGCTATCCCAAGAACAGAAAGGTGCTACTGTGTTTTGAGGCATTAAGCACCACTCAAAAGAGAAGCTTGCCTAGGCAAATATTCCCCTGTTCCGGCAGAGAGATTGTGGTAGAGAATCGGTAGCTGAACAACAAGCCACAGCAGCCCGCCAAGATGGATGTAACCTCCTGCATGCGTCGATATCATCGCAACTACCAGGCACCATACCTGAATAAAATAGAATAATAAAAACAAATAAGAAATAAACAGTGTGCACTACAATAGAAATTTGCAATACCCAGTATCGTGGGGACTACTCATATAAAACACGGTGTAAATCCTCATAGATTGCCTCGGAACGTATCACTTGTTCAGTTCTAGCCGTCATACAGCTGCCATGTCCATGCAGCATCTTTCAACTCATCTTAAGTTGCCAGCTCTAGGAGTTTGGTCACTTCCTCCAACCGATCCTCGGACCGCGATATTACAACACACCGAAAGACATTCGACTCTTGGTGTGCCGTTTAAACTAAACCATGATCTTTTGGACCTTACCCTCGATGTCAGGTTCCCTATAACAGTTGCCGCTGTATACATGGCGGCCATTGCGTTTCTAAACGGGGTAAACCGCAGACGACACAATAAACCATGGAAATTTAGCCAAACATATATCTTCAGGATGCTAGTCATCCTGCACAACTCCTTCCTAGCAATATTCTCGGCATGGGCGCTTATTGGAATATGCCAGGCCGTATGGCGCTCCTGGCCGGCTTCGGGAGATCCAAACTATGGAGCCCACATGGCACGTGCAATGTGCCAGACAGATATTTCGGTCGAACCGCCAGGTAAGATACCTTTTGGTCATAGAATACTGCGTGTATTTTGAATACTGACCGCATATCAAACTAGTTCCGCTATATCACAACACTCTCTGGGACCAAGGAATGGGGTATATTGGATGGGTGATGTATTTATCAAAATTCTATGAGGTAGTTGATACGTTGATCATCCTCGCTAAGGGAAAGGAGAGTTCGACTTTACAAACTTACCATCATGCCGGAGTTATGATTTGCGCATGGTCGGGAATCAGATATAAGTGCCCAGCTGCGTTGGTTGGTGTGTTTCTCAACTCTGGTGTACACACTCTGATGGTAGGGGCTCTCTCCAAAGGCCGTTATTATGAAAGTTCATTGACAGCTGTTTTCCTTTCCAGTACACTTATTTCGCTCTGGCGGCGGCTGCCATACCAGTCGCTATTCGTGTTAAGCGTGCTCTCACGTCTATACAGATCATTCAGTTTATCCTTGGACTTGGGCTCGCCTGCAGCTATTTCTTTGCGGCGTACGATATATTGCTACCAGAACAGAACGACATCGAAAAAGGCACAACAGCAGGTCTCCCCTCTCAGATGGAAAATGGCCAATTCCCAACCATGACACCCACAGAACTAACTACGGAAGTTGGATCACACGAAATGGCTGCTTATACTACAATGCACTGCATACCTGACAGCGGAAAAGCTTTTGCGATCCTGCTCAGTTCTGCTTATTTATTACCCCTTACATATTTATTCGGCTGCTTTTTCGTTCGAACATATTTGACACGGCACAAGAAAGCAATATAAGGTATCATCAACGGCGGCTAGGCCATAAGAATCGTGCAGTTGTTCCTACTGCTTAAGATTACGTACCACAGCTGAGTTGAGTAACATCGCGGTGCCGTCTTTGTGAGTTACTACAGTCAGTCCCCATCAAACATTGCTGTTAAAGGCCAGTTTTTACATCAAGGCCTGATGGTGTAGATTGGTCTTAACTGGTTTTAATTTCGGTACTTTAGTATGGCAATAACACAATAGAATGATTATATATAGAAAGGTACTAAGAAATTCGTATGTAGACCATTTGTCAAACCCAACCATCCTGTCAATAATAGCATGACAATATAATATACACCTTCAGTCTTCACTCAAGAGGTAGACTCGTGGCAACCATAAAAACATAAAACACCAAATCATCTGAATAAATATAACCTATCCGACGCGGCCCCTAACAGAAACCAAGATCCTAACTTAAGGGAAACGTGCAGTTGCTCAAGTCAGCTTGACGATCCACAAAGTTTGACCAGGAGAAGACTGTTACATTTGGAATGTTGAGAGATAGCCTTCCAGGGATGGAGACCAAATCTGACTTTCGAACGAAAAACCATACCTTTTTGGCGTCACGATATCCGGAAATGTTGACCGAGCACCTATTCCGGAAGAGGGGATAGTCTACCTAATATCGTGGCAAACGACACCGCCTTGTACATAGTTCATTACCGCATGAAAGACTTTTTTATGGTTGCAATGTAGATCGGAGCACACTTTGGATTCAGACCCACCCAGAGGCAGGCTCGATCTGAAGCTTCTGATATCCCACGGACCAGTGTCATCGATAGATTCGTGGACCCTCTTTCTTCTCATTGCGTTCACCTGTCGCCTTGAGGACAACTCTTACTCTTTCTTTTCACGTCTTCCCCCTTCCTTACTTCTTTTACCCATAAATGCCATGGTAAAATAGCTGCTTCCGGCAATGTTTTGTGGGCTAAGCAAAAGAATCAGTGGGATGGCGGTTCCACGTCCTAAACTCATGACTACGTAGATGCTCCATAAGGTCTCCATTTTAAATGCCACCACAGACAACACTTGCATCCTTTAGGGAACGAAAGGCCAAAATCTATTTAAAGAAGCGAGGCTCACGAGCTTCGCAGACGAAGGATGTTTCTGAGGAATCATTTTAGTAGCTTAAATAGAATATCAGACTTCATACAACGTGACCATCGATTGGCAAACAATCGATTGCTACAATGATCTTACTCTTGTCCATTAGTCTTTTGGCCGTTGCCTACGTTCGTAACACCGTCTAGCCGTCATGCTACCTACGCTTGGCTAACCTGCAGCCATCAACTTCTCTAGCTTCTCTCGCTTATCGTGTATCGGATCTATTTTCACCCATTGTCCAAGATTCCTGGGCCATTACTACCAAGGATAACTGATTGGTACGCCGCCTGGCTGGTATGGAGAGGTACTTCACATACTGCAATTTGGAAAGGACATCAGAGATATGGTGAGCTTCACCATATAGCTTCCAGCCGTGCTGCTAATCCCTAATTTATCCCCATTCAGGCAATGTTGGCAGATGCGGCCCTAATTCAGTATCCGTGTGCTCTCAAACGGGGCTGATGGAAATATATTCAACAAAGGCCAACGTTTGTAAGATTGACTCTTATGTGGTAATGAGTGTGAGCAGCCATGCGCCCAATACATTCAGCTGCATAGATAAGAAGACACATGCATTCAAGCGGAGGATCCTTTTCCAAGCCTTTACAGATAATGCGTTGAATGGAGTGCAGAATCAAATTTTATCCCACATAAGTGACTTTTGTGCCATGCTGAATCCTCCCTCCGATAGGGCAGGACCGAGCTTAGACTGGGGGCCCAGTGTGGACATCGCACCTCTATGTGACTATCTTGCATTTGATGTCATTAGCGACCTGAGCTATGGGCGAAGCTTTGGCATGCTAAAAAGCGATAGATATCGCTATATACCACAATTAACCAAAACGCTAGCTCGCCGGAATGCTACGGTAAGCTATACACCAGCTACAACAAGAACCCAGTATCTTACTACTAACAATTAATCTTAACTACGTAGTGTATGTCCCAACCAAAGGTGTGGCGCTATAAGCTTGATCGTTTGTTCTTCGCCGGCTTCATCAGCGCATTAAAGGATTTTAGTCGTTGGATTCGTCACCAGGGGAAGGAAAGGGCTCGTCTAGGGAACAGTGGCCCCCGAAAAGATTGCTTCTACTATTTACTCAATGCATTAGATCCCAAGACTGGGCAAGGATTTACAGAGAGGGAATTATGGGATGAATCATTACTCTTAGTCGTTGCGGGTATGTTAATCCTTATTCCAATCGTTGGCGGAGATTCCAGTGGTCTAGGGCTGATTTAAGAATGAACGCCATAGGGTCAGATAGTGTCGCCACCAGCCTGAGTGCGGTTCTCTTTAACCTCGCGCATAGCCAGCGGGCCCTGCAAAAGGTCACCACAGAGATCCGTTCGTGCTTCAAACAGAAGGAAGATATTCGCCTGGGCCCTCAGTTAAAATCGTGTAGCTATCTGCATGCATGTATATCAGAGTCCTTACGCATTTCGCCGGCAGCCTCAAACATGGCTCCTCGCCGTGTATTGCAGGGGGGCATAACGGTGGACGGCTATTACATACCAGAAGGGACTATAATCGGGACACCAATCTATGCCCTCCACCATAACGAGGAATACTATCCAAGACCATTCAAATATGAGCCAGAGCGCTGGTTGGAGGATGAAACCAATGACGATAGTTCATTGACAAATGATGGGCTGAAGCGAGCACGGGCAGCGTTTTGCCCCTTTAGCATTGGACCAAGATCTTGCCTTGCTAAAAACCTGGCGTGGGCCGAGCTCACTCTTACACTTGCCCGGGTCCTGTTCTCATATGACATCCGACTACCGCCTGATCATTGTGAGGTTGAACCGGACTGTTGCAGCTCGGTGCCTAGGGATCAGAGCCCTGAGTATAAGCTGCGCACATGGATTGTGTCCGCGCGAGAAGGGCCATCCCTACAATTTCGCCCCAGGAATGATTAAGGTACCATAGATTTTCGCCCGGAAATCATTGAGCTCTCATTAGGTAATTTTCTTATAAACTTACGGAGAAGCAACATTGATACATAAGCGCATCCTTTGTCTATCAGATAACTAAATCAACAGCCGTCTTTCGCATACAAAGCCGTGTCAATAATATCTTAGGGTGAGCAAGGAAGGCTGCTGTTGATGTGGTACATGTCTTTTTGAAAACTTTCAGCATATTCACAATGCTAGTTTATGAAAACGTATATACACAGGTCAAATATCCCATCAGTATAAGACAATTCCCGACTCTAATGTAACAATATTTGAATAGCGGGAGTTTACTGATCTAGATACAAGTTAACCTGCTGTACAAATAAAGTTGGTAATGTTTCCTTTAGCCCTATAAGGTGTACCAATTCATTCTATGCCTTATATACGTTTAGGATTAGATACTAGTGGCCTAGTATGTAGCCCATGAAGTCATGGATCCTTCATTGGTGGATTGTGCTGAAGGTTGTCGATATCCTGACTTCACCAATGAGCAAAGAGAGTTTATTAAAACTGATTTTTTACTCTTTTCTTTTCTTTTTTTTTTTTTTTTTTTTTTTTTTTTTTTTTTTTTTTTTTTTTTTTTTTTTTTTTTTTGCCTCTGCTGGGATACTGTTATTTAATAGGCTATGTTTTTAATACTCAGTGAAATTTACTTGGGTAACGTTAACAAAATCCAATTTCCTTGTTGAATTGACGATTTCTTGACGGCGAAAGGTTTGCTTAGGGATCTAGATAGTCTGGAAACCAGATAATATTGCTGTCCATATTCGGGACTTCGGGAGTATAGGCATGCAACTAACAATACAATATAGATCCTCGCCTGAGGATACTTTGATTCTATCTCTTAGTCACACCATCCAATCTCGCCCGTATCTATACTCGTACAAGTGGCTGGAGTAGCTGCGTGTGCTTGATGAGTGGATAGTCGTGATTCGAAGCGGTCACAGAATATTTTTGTGAGGCTTGTACGAATCAATCAATATACTCCCTACACTAGTATTATAAATCTATTATCTATCCGGGGTTGCTAGCGGGTCCCGCGGACCCCGAGGCCGAAGGAATATTTTCAAGTACCTTTCCCTTGGCCTTCCTCCTACACAAAACACTGAGGCGATTTCTTATCAGATCCTTGGCCTCCCTTAACTTCCTACCTACCTGTTTCAGAATTTCCCATTATAATTCATTTTGATCGTTATATGACGTCATAGGACTTCAAGATCAAGCCTGCTTTCTGGTATAACCAACGCCGAAGAAAAATGCGTCTATGGCCGTCTGGTGACGGGACAACGGAACCACCGGTGTTCCTGGAGTGGAGATCATCGAAGTTTTTTATTATATTTGTGGTGGTGTTTGCAGTTTTCACGGTACGATGGTCAACCATGTCATATCAACAGGAATTTACATAGAATATGCTAATAAAATGATCCTAGGACATCTTACTCTATGGACTAGTATGTGATATGACCATTTTGTATGAATTTGAATATCACATGGTCTCTGACATAGTTTATAGATAGTTCCTGTAACCCCGACTGCCCTACATGAGAGAGTTGGCCTATCGGAAGAGAATGGTATGTTAGTTTCGTTGCTGGCCTACTATTTGGCCTCTGCGCAAGACGGACTAACCATTACGCCGCATTTTAGAACAGAGCTGGACATCTATCTTGCTGGCGCTCTACGGAGCAGCTCTGCTAGCGTTTTCCCGTAAGTACTGTCCTTGTTCAAGCACCATGAAACATCGTTCTGACAAACATGGGAAATGTCAGCTATTGCTGGATACATAGCTGATCGAATTGAGTCACGGTGGTGGCCACTATTAATCGGCTTGATTGCCTTGGGTGCCTCGACAGCGTTGCTTTGTGTCGGTACCCATATCGGTCTCTGGATCGCTGGTCGCCTATTCCAGGGCGCATCGGCGGCAGTTGTCTGGACCGTAGGATGTGCACTTCTAGTCGATACAGTTGGCAAAGACGAGCTTGGACAAGCATTGGGTTATATCGGCATGGGGATGACCCTTGGAATAATGGGAGGTCCCCTCCTGGGTGGTGTTATTTATGAACATGGAGGGTATTATGCTGTTTTTGGATTAGCCTTCGCCTTGATCGGATTGGACATCTTGTTCCGGATTATTATGATTGAGAAGAAGTATGCCGCAAAATGGCTCCCTCCCCAGGAGGTATCCTCCGAAGGCGAGAAAATGGATAACGAAGCTGCCTCACAAGACACCGCGGGATCTTTTGGCTCTGCTACGCGGAGAAGCGATCACAACAGAGAAAGGAACCCGCAAGCTGTAGCATCTGCATTACCAAGGAGCTCACAAACAATCGAGAAACCAAATGACCAAGGCCTCGACAATTCCAATCACCTGACAACCACAGAGCCCCACCCGGCGAGGGCTATACTCACTCTACTAGCGTCGCATCGCATGATAGTCACTATATGGGCATATTTTATCCTTTCCGTCGCCTTGACCTCTCTTGACAGTGTGCTCCCGCTTTATGTGCAAGACACTTTTCACTGGGGGCAGACAGGCCAGGGATTGATCTTCGTGCCTCTATCCATCCCGCACTTCATAGACCCCTTCGTGGGCTTCATCAACGACAAATTCCCGAATGCACGACGCTACCTTGCAGCAGGTGCACTTTTTGCCACCGTCCCAGTTATTGTCTGTTTTCGATTCGTCACGGAAGACTCAATGAGCCAAAAAGTACTGCTCTGCGCCCTACTAGCTCTTCTGGGCGCTTGTCTGGCTTTCCTCATGCCGCCCATTTTGGTGGAAGCCTCATACATTGTACAAGAAAAGGAGGAGAAGGATCCCAATATATTTGGTAAAGGGGGAGCCATGGCTCTTTCATATGGGATCTTGAATGCCGCCTTTGCCGCGGGCAGTATAGTCGGGCCGTTTTTTGCAGGATTTATTCGAGAAAGTGCCGGTTGGGCGACGATGTCGTGGGCCCTTGCATTACTGACGGGCGTGTCGGCTGTGCCAGTGCTGCTGTTTTTGGGTGGATTCCTTTTCAAGAACCAGAAGAATGTGGAACCTCAGTCTGCTGCGTGATTTGCGCAGTCTGGTGGTTCATGTATATAGGAGATACATCATCGTAGTACAGTACATACTTTAGATAAACGCTCTCCGCGTCGGTTAATACTATACCAGACTTTAATTCCATGTCTAAATCTCATTGAAACTTCGAAACAAAAACGAGATAGAAGCCTTCTCATCCGTCCTCATCAGCCGAGCACGAAGGATCCTCCACAGGCCAACTTGCAACGGTGGAACTCCCCGCAACGGCCCCACATGCTAAGATGATGACCATCGGCAATACATTGGAGGCTATCAGCCGGGACTGAGGGAATACAAAGAGTGAGGGGGTCGGATTATATTAGAAGATCGTTGGCATCGTTATCAACTTCTTCCTAGATACGCTATTACCATCGTCTTCAGCCGTCACGAAACATGAGCTCACCGCAAGTCTCTCATCACACCCTAAACGCAGCGTTCAAGGGCACTGCGCGCAAAATTGGCGAAACTGCTATCCACCAATTCCGAGGAATAAAATATGCCAGTGTTCCCGCCAGATTTGAGCCTGCCGAACCTGTAGATAACTTCAATGGAGCATCTGTCGATGCCACTCAGTACGGGTATGTGCCCTTTCTGTTGTCATCGAAAGTTTGAGTTTATCGGTGATTTGTTAATGCATGTTTTAGGCCGCGATGTCCTCAGGCAACTGTAGATGTGCGCCACTTGTTGCGGATCCCTGAAGATTTTGAAATTCCGGATGAGCCTGAGGACGAATTCGAATGTCTTAATCTGGACATCACATGTCCGCCTTTGTCGGCCATTTCGGGGCCCCTTCCCGTTTTGATCTGGATCCATGGTACATAATCGATAGTATTGATCTCGGTGTTCGGACACTCATCGCTGACTATCACCCAGGTGGTTCCCAAGTTGTAACCTTCTGCTCGGGAGCATCCAAGATCTGCGGTCAGTAGACATCTGAGTCTATGATGCTCATTAAATGTCCAATTACTGACTTGGTCACAGATCCGGCCAGGCTTGTAGCTGATTCCATTGAGGCCAACCAGCCCATGATCGTTGTTTCCATCAATTATCGACTCAACATCTTCAGCTTCGGAGATGGAAAAGAGAGGAATCTTGCCCTCAAGGATCAGAGAATGGGGATTGATTGGGTGAGGAAGAATATCGCCGCTTTTGGGGGCAATCCGGTATGTGTCTCAAATCATTGCAGATCTCGCCCATGGTCGAACTTATATTAAGTTCGCGATTGCTTCTAGGACAATATCACTCTTTCCGGTGAAAGCGCAGGTGCCGTTTATGTTCATGCACATCTGATCACTGGCCCCCCCGTAAAGAGGGCCGTTTTAGCATCTGGATCCCTTTACCTCTCGTCTCCATTGCCTGTGGAGCGCGGCAATGGACTTATCCAGGTCTTACAGACGAAGGTTAAGGAGCTGGGACAGCCATCTCTTCGTGAGGCCTCGGTCTCTGCTCTCATACAAGCACTAAAGGAGTGCAATGTGAACACGATGTGGATCCAGGAGGAGCCAGGGCTTGAGAACTGGGAAACCAAGCCAGAACAGGTCGACGAGCTTATGATAGGTGACACAGAATATGAGGTACGTTTGATGGACATTCCATTCCAGCCACTGGATATACCTCCCTAACCATGTCTAGTCCGTTATCTGGAGGAACGGGGTAGAAACACTAGACGGGGAGACGATTACTGCTGCCTTTGAACAAGACAAGGAATGGGGTGCCAAACTGCGAAAGCTGTACCAAGTGGTCGCCGACCGCCCTACAGCCTGTAAGCTGGGTGCTTTGGATCTAGTCAATGACATTCGCTATACACTCCCTGTTGAGGTCATTTCTGAAAAGCTTGCGGCAGCCAACAAGAGAGTGTATAGGTATGTTTTTGACCAAGCCAACCCATGGCAAGCATCCAGCCGTGCTCATCATGCTGTTGACCTTCTCTATCTATTCGCTGGTGTTGATTTGTCCTTTAACCCGACTGCGGAAATGGTGAGTCAAGAGACAAGGAAACGCTGGATTCGATTTGTCAGTGGCAGTAGCCCCTGGTCTTCAGAGCAAAGATTTGCCTTCGGACCAGTTGGGGATTGCAAAGAAATATCGGAGGCGCAGTTTGCGGGTCGGAGACGAGTAAATCATCTCAAGGTGCTGAAAGAGGCTGGAGTGGGTGTGTATATGCCTATCGCTACTGCCTTGACGGCAGGGAAGATTAGTCTTTTGAACTGAGAAAACAAAAGAATCAACAATGAAGGAGTTGATACGTGATCGGGTAGGTGGAGACCACAGCGCCGTTCGTGGCGGTGCCTCCTTAGACTGCTAATGACAATTTGGCTGCTGGTACAGAATCTTTCGATGGAATGATATGGTCAGGGTCTAGAGATGCATGCAGGCGTCTACTACCCTACATGTTTTCATTCTTTTTATTTTATTGGCAGGGAGAATCTCTCGCAGCCTTGTGCTGATGGGGTGTTCTGTTTGGTGCGCAGGCAACCTGCATCAGTAACCGCCAAGTTATTCTTCATCATCTTTCCATTGCCAATCATTTTGAGGCCGCCTGTTTGCACTGCCTTTTGTTTGAACTTCCCATTAGACATAAATTGATGCTTCGACGCAACCTCCTATTCACAACTCAACAATTCGGCATTCTCCCTTCCATTTCCAGTTTCACTTGATTTTTATTTTGTCTTTCAGCCCTCTACTTGTATACTCTCAAATAAAACATACACTTTGCACATTGCTCTCAACCCTTCTCATCATGAAGAAAGAGACGTCCGAAAGCTCTATGCTAGCCGACCCGGCACTCCTGGACAAGATTGACAAGCTGTTCGCCTGCAATGTGGGTGAGCATATTGCTCTCCCACAACTAGTTGTTGTGGGCGATCAGTCCAGTGGAAAGTCCTCTGTCCTTGAAGGCCTCACCCAGCTCCCTTTCCCACGCGATAGCGGACTTTGCACTCGATTTGCCACACAAATTATTTTTCGCAGAGATAGAGGCTTATCGACTCGCAAAGTCAGTGCCTCTATCATTCCAGCATCTGACTCAGATGTCGACCGTGCTGCTAGACTTAGAGCATGGCACACTGAGAGTATCGACGCCTTGGAGCCAAGTCGTTTCTCCAAAGTCATGCAAGAAGTAAGCTAACGGCCTCAATCTCATCCTAAGTTTTAAGCTAACTCTATAAAAGGTCCATGAGTTAATGGGAGTCGCTGAAAACTCGGCTCTGCCGACTTTTTCTAAAGATGTCCTCCGCTTGGAGATCTGCGGGCCAGAAGAGGACCATCTGAGTGTCATTGACGTGCCTGGAATCTTCAAAAATACTACTCCGGGGCTAACTTCTAAGTCTGATATTGCCGTGGTTAGAGAAATGGTGGAAGGCTACATGAAGAACCCTCGGTCTATCATGCTTACCGTCGTTCCTGCCAACGTTGATATTGCTACTCAAGAGATCATCGAGATGGCCCGCGAGTATGACGCAGAAGGGGAAAGGACCATTGGAGTTCTCACAAAGCCAGACTTGGTAGATAAAGGTGCCGAAGATAAGGTCCTTGATCTTGTAGCGGGGAACAAGTTATTTCTGCGGCATGGTTGGACAATAGTCCGCAACTTGAACCAACAAGAGCTGACGGCCGGGAACACGGACCGTGATGAGGCAGAAGAGGCATTCAGTCAGAAGGCACCTTGGAATACAATTGCTAAAGATAAATTTGGCATCAAATCCTTGAAATCTCGTCTCCAAGAAACTGTTACCGAGAATGCACGACGGGAGTTTCCTTCGGTAGGCATTACTTGTACTCTCAATTAAAGGGTATTTATTAACTCATAATTAGGTCCGGTTGGAAATCAGTAAGAGGCTGAAGGAAGCTAAAAACTCCTTGAAGGCTCTTGGTAACGAGAGGGAGACGCCAGAGCAGCAAGTAGGTTTTTTGTTAGACATTATAAACAAATTCCAGGAAATCACTTCCCAAGCGCTGAGTACGAGCTACGGCGAGAGTGATATCTTCGACGAGCATATGGACCTTCGACTTGCCACCAAGGTTGTCACCCGAGACATAGCTTTTGCAGAAGACCTCGAGCGATATGGCCATGAATACAACTTCGATGCTAGTGTCAAAAAGAGTCTTGATTCATCTAACGCAAATTCTACGACAGTGCCTCCAGACGAGTCGGAGGATATGAATGAACTCCACACTCGAAAGACTGGTAGCATGCCAGAACTTGAGGATGTCATTACTGAGCAGACCTGGGAATCTTTTCCTTCGGACAACGATATTTACGAGTGGCTAAAGCAGCTATACCAATCATCTCGTGGTTTCGAGATTGGCACGTTCAATGCCTCGTTGCTTGCTACTAGCATGAAAAAGCAGTCAGCTAAATGGTCTAACTTTGCTAAGGGGTACATCAGTGACGTGATTACAATTGTCCATGGATTTATTGTTAAGACATTAGAGATTGTCTGTGTGGACAGGCGCGTATTCAACAGCCTTCTTTTCATCATGATGGATAATCTTCTGGACAAGTACCAGCGTGCCCTGACACAGGTGGACTTTCTGCTCCATGTGGAACGTAACCAGGCACCCAAAACGCTCAATCACTATTTCAACGAAAATCTCCAAAGATGGTACGTTGGTTCAAACACAACTTATGTATACAAATGCATATACTGATAGGCTTTTAGCCGCCAGGAACGCCAGCGTTCTAAGCTTGAAAGTAAAGTCATCAACGACAAACATGGTGGAGAGGTTGTTCGACTGAAAGATCTTACTATGCTAAATCACATGAGCAACTCTGAGTACACGGTTCAGGATATTCATGATATCCTCGAATCTTACTATAAGGTAGCTCGGAAACGCTTTGTGGACAACATTTGCATGCAAGCAGCAGATTATTATCTTGTCACCGGGCCGGAGACCCCAATCAAGCTTTTCTCGTCATCTTTGATCAACAAACTGTCTCATGATGAGCTCAAGGACATAGCTGGCGAGGATGCGTCCACTGTACGGCGGCGAATTAGCCTGAAGAAGACGATCCGTGAGCTCGAAGAGGGTAGGAGGATATTGTTCTAAGGACAATTGCGGCTTGGGAGAATAACGTAGCGAACTGAGGTTGCAGTTTTTGGAGGTGGGAAAGCTAAACGCGTGGGTATCTGATAGTCTCAAATAAGAGCAAATGTTGAATAAGACGCCAACATTTCGGCCAGGAGTTCATAAGTAAAAGTACCCACACACTACCTTCAGTATTTTGTGACAGCAAAAAGGCAAAGGGTCAGTGCTCATATATCATAGAACAGCTTTAGCGGTGCATAAAAGCAAAAAACAATGACCAGACTGGGGCTCGATCCCAGGACCTTATCGGTGTTAACGATACGTGATAACCAACTACACCATCCGGCCGATTGATGAATTCTTCGTTCAAGCTTTGACATGACAGGGCAAAATCTAAGCCTACCTAGAAACCACTAATCTTAAAGAAGATTAGTGTGTTATGGTTCTGTCGGCTGTATATACTCGCTCCATGGAATGCATGAATCAAGCCAGGGAGCAGTTATAAGTGATAGTGTAATCTTATGGAGGATTTTAGTATGGGAATTATTCCATCTACTAGCATTGTTGTGGTACTGGAATTATTCTGGGTAAACTGGTGCTACCAGTAATGGCGTTGTATAGGATCCGAGTAGCACTTATGGCAACATCTTCACTATGGGACAAGCTTTGCTACATTGGATTTCACGTACTGGGATGTATGTGTCACTATGTCTTATGACGTTTGATTCCAGAGGTACACTGCAAAATAAGTACTTCATGGGATCGTGGTATAGTCCTCTATATCCCGAAATTGGAAAACTGGGCTAAAGTACGGAATATGAGATGTGCGGAGCTTCTTAAGAGCGTTTCAGGGGGTAACTATCATCGAGTATATACAGGAGATGGTCAGTCAAAAATATTTCGTCGCGACATTAGGCTACGTGAAGTGACAGGGACTGGGAGAAAGGAAAATATTAGATCCCGCACGACTATGGGATGTAACGGGTTGAGGTTGAACGAGAGATGCCCTTGGTTGGATTTACGAGCACAATGAAGGTATAAGATTAAAAGTAAAAAGAGGGGAGCCTTTTGAGCTCCAAGCTGGGTAAGGAGGTGAGGCACAAACCAAAAAAAGATGACCAGACTGGGGCTCGATCCCAGGACCTTATCGGTGTTAACGATACGTGATAACCAACTACACCATCCGGCCAACAGATGAAGTTATATATTTCGCTTTTAGCAATATAAGGCTGGGCCCACCCGCATTGACAAATTTTTCTTCTCCCAGAAAGGAATAGGCTAGAGTTGTCACTATACATCGGCACTCCGAGAAGGGTAAGTCTCTAGGCTACCTTTCAATCAGTAGGTAATACCCTGTCATTGCTAGACAATGTGGAGGTGTCAGTCGCTTTTCGTCCGTCCGCAATTGTGACTATCTCCACACTCAATGGCCACCTGGGATGTATGTCTGATATTAGTTGGTCAGTCCGTCAACCGTCTCCAGTGTATTGTTAACTACTTTTCGCTTGTGGGTTGTATTGCTGTCACTCTCACTGGTGAATTTGAGATCTTTGGATAATGGAGTTGTGGCTCATGGCCAATAGTATTGATAGGTTGACTGGGAGTACCTTTATTGAGGCAAGCGATTTCTGATTCCAAGTATGATATATATTTCCGGAGCCCTACGAACAGGACCGCTGGGCTCGAGAAGCTACAACAGCATGGATACTCTGTGTAACGTGTGATTAATATACCAGCTAGTATTATTCCCGCATATACTTTTATGCACCTAACAAACAAAAATAACAAGATCATGTAAGCCTATGTAACACTAATATTTAGCAGTTAGTGGTGTATCTTAAGACGCTTTGTAGTGTAGCCTCCATTTTTATGCTTTGAGTGATAATGTCAAAAACAAAGCTAAAATTGTATCAATCGGCCGGATGGTGTAGTTGGTTATCACGTATCGTTAACACCGATAAGGTCCTGGGATCGAGCCCCAGTCTGGTCATTGTTTTTTATTTCACATAATTTTTTTATTATTCTGGTCTACACATCCACCGCTGACTTTGGCTCGTTAAATCCCTTTTTGCCATTTAGCACCGGGATACCGAGTAAATCACGGCCCAAGAGATACTAGAAGCCATCCTATTTACTGTCACACCCTCCCAACCCCCTGAATCTAGCACGGGCTTATGGCTCTGCGATGCCTTGCACGTGTTCTATTCTGGTACTCCAGCTGAAGACTATAGACAGGATAAATTACCCATGGCAACTGCAGCACAGGTGCAGCAACCGGCATAGAATGCGCACGCCGATGAGAGCTCCAATGGGATCTTTGACAAAGCACGTTAGCAAGGACGGAGATGATTGGCACTCTGATTGCCATGACATAGAGGTCCCAGGAGGGTACAAATGATATATAGGTAGTTATTGATGCAGTGGACCACGCGTACCTTCAAAGCTCCTATTGATGCCTTCGAGGCTCTAGAGATTAAAGAAATTCTTTGGGTACCGCAGTCGATAGAAAAAAGTGGATGCGTCGAACTATACAGACAAGGACACGTGAACATTGTCCAGACATTGTGCCCACATGAAGCTGACATCAATATTGAAAAGTATGGACATGCCCCAGGGCTTTTTTCTTGCATCAAGCCTTTGGGTCAGGACAACAAGATATTGCTACGTATTTTATCAGCATGACGCTCTAGTCAACGTTATTGACGAGAAATCTGCAACACCGCTTCTTATTGCAGTGTTCAATCAGAATTTTGCTACCTTGAAGAAGCTATTGGAGAGTAGAGCCAATCCAAACATATAGGGTCGGGAGAAAGCAACACCGTTGGATGCGGCTATTTGTGCTAAATACCTGGACATTGTGTGCTCCTTTGTCCATTCCGGGGTCCTACCGGACGCGGACATGGAACATGCAAGTGGCAATGCTCTCGGGGTAGCCAGCTCTTCTGATAACAAGGCCATAGTCCACTTTCTCCTCGAAAAGCACCGGGACATCACTAATCAGAACTGGGAGGGCCTCAAGCCGCTCGCGATAATAGCTGATGGGGCTCACAGGGATATCATGGAGCCTTTACTGGGATGTGCCGCGCATACAACAAAGGCCTCTTCGACGGTAGCATTGCCTTTGGATCTGATAAAAGCATTAACATTAAGGAAGAGTCGTAAAGGGTTGGAAGAGAACTGAAAGAGTGATTTTTTTAACGATGAATAGATTGAGCCTTGAAATTCCAGTCTCGTAGATGGCGTTGTTCCTGGTTTGGTGACAAAGGAGAATAGAAACCTCATAACTTGTCTCCTATCCTAGCTATGTTGTCACTGCTTAAGAATAACCACATATAGTTAAATAGGTTTGGGACGACGGTCGGCAATTTGGAGATAACTGTCCAATCTACTAGGGCTGAACTTTCTCTGAATTCTTGTTTGACTGTACCACTTAGGGCTACGCGATGGCAGTCAATTTCAGCTTGAGCGTTAATTCTAGCTTCTGTAATCAAATGTCAAAGTTGTTCTTCAACAATTGGCCGGATGGTGTAGTTGGTTATCACGTATCGTTAACACCGATAAGGTCCTGGGATCGAGCCCCAGTCTGGTCATTGCTTTTTGCAGTATCTAGATACTACACAGTATCCCAACGCTCTCTGTTTTTCTTTTTTTGCAGTTTATTTTTGATATAGCTTTATAGTACCTTGCCGAATTAATGGCATCGTTGTCACTGTGGCAACATCTCGGCATCGAAACTTTGAGCACTGGTGGTCTTGAACTTCTGATGTAAATATCCTCGCTCTAGCCCGTTTCACCAACTCATTCCACACCAGGGAGACCTTCTAAAAGGCTATATACCGGATACCAGACTGTGTAAATGCTAGTCTTCGGCTATTTGGTCGCATCGATGTCAATCAATGATACGATATGACAGTACTAGATGCTATGGCATATGCTCTATTTGAAGACATGGGGGTTGTCCTATATTGATCATAGTTCAGTAAATATATGTCCATTGTCAACTTGAGAATACTCTATAAACTACCCTATAGAGACACCGATGGTGTCCGAACAATTTTAGGTAGTCGAATGGGATGACGTTTTATTGCCGCGTCTCTTTATTGCATGTCAGTTTCTGCATCTCTAGGCATCATTAATCGCCATTTCATCGAGGGAGACCGCAGCTTAATCTGCTTGACGACACAAATCACCTACAAATTATGTCACCCATACATATCCTAGTGAGTCGACGTCTACTTATGACGTTTTAGAAACTACTCATCACATCTTCTACCTAGCTTCTCTCTTTCAGAAGTTCTCAACGCACAACTACACCTTACCTTAACCCCTTTCACAAGTACACATCGCTCGAGACTAGAGCCCATCATGCCTGAACGTGCACGAACCAGACTAGCGCAGGAGCAAGACCTGGAAAAAGGCATCCCTCCCAAGCAACACGTTACAATTGATCTCCCCGAGCCCATATACCAACGGCCAAGTCCGAAGAACCCGGTCTTAGGAAGCACACCCTTCCAAGACCCTGACCTGGAAGGAACGGATAGTTTTCAGTTCTCCACTATGAACGAAGCGAAGAAGGCCCCGAAGAAGAAGAGATATATCTTTGGAGTTCCCGACAATCCTCTTGAGGACTCGGAGTTGGACAATGAATGGATGCGGCACATTGGTAAGACACAATTGTGGCATGGATTCGGAATGGACACTAAAAATCACACAGATGATAGTGAGCCAAAGCCAGAAACCATCATTTCTGAACGAGTCTCTGAGCAGCGCCGCATTACTTGCTGTCATAATACTTCGGGACTCACCTATATGAGATCATCCATATCATGCGTTGAGGTCAGCGTTGTTATAGTTATCTTGGTTGTGGCAGGTCTCATTATTCTTTTACCGTTACTGTTGTGGAGAAAATAAGTTCCAGCTTATGGTAGTGTGATGTTTTGAGATCAGTTGTATATTCGTCGGAGAGTGGCTATGAGTTGGGTTCTCATGGGAGTTTGTTGGCATCTTCTGATGAATCAGGTTGTAAATTAGACACTTCGCGCTATTCATGGCTTTCTGGCTAAATTTTTGGTGATGAACTTTGTTGGAATCTTATATCACGAAAGTATTCCTTATATCAGACTTAGAATTTAGAAGCATTTGCCCAGGACATCTCTTCGAAGTAACCAGTAGGTTCTGTCAACCTCAAGACTATACTTCGATTGTGGATAAAAAGGGACTTGTCCCAGTTTGCTACTTATTTTGAATCTGTGGGTATGGTTGTTCTGTAGTAGTCTCGAGTGAAGATACCAGGGATTCAGGGCTCTAACCATATAACTGTCTGAACGAACAGAATTTATGTGACACCGTGAATTTTGTTTTGCCGTTTCCATTAGTAAACCATCTGTCAAGGCACCGTTTGTACATGTTGATAATTGTGTAGTACTGTGGTATCGCCCGCAATGAAGCATTATGTAAAAATCAAGCAAATTCTGCCTTCTCGTATGATAGTCCACATGGAGTCAGCCAGGGATCTACCATGTGTCATATAGCAGTCGACTTCGAAATCCTCTTCACTCGTAAATCCTTCATTTTGCGAAATCCCCGATTTACAGCCTGAATAGTACTTCGCACAAGACTCTTATCATGTCCCAATCTAGGGAAACACTGCCCCTATATGACCTCGAGAGAGGCCAGGGTGCTCAGAATGAGCTCTCCCATATCAATAGCGCAGATCTCTACCCACCACCACTATAGTAAACCCGATGTCCTAGTCTACATAGTCCGCCTTCTTACAAGAGTCAGGACCAAGAAGGGCTCCAAACGCAGAATGGTAAGCTCAAGCGCTACAGAATCACACGGGCAGTGTCCATGTACATGAATGATCAAATTAATTCTTTGTCAACAGATCCGCAGGAGCCTGAACCTTCAAAATGCCTTAAAATGAAAGAGATACCGGGAAAAGTGGTTTCCAGAGTCCACAAAGTCGGGGACCAGATTTCCAAGACAACTGGAGCTATTCTCCGCACTGTATTTTCGATGTTCAAAAAAGCTTGGAAATGGATAATCACCAGAATCTTGCGGGTGGCAGAAAATCTTTACATCCTTATCGGGGTATTAGGGCTCATGATACTTTGGATATTGACTTTTTCCGAAAGACAGTTGCGCTCGATTTTCTACGCACTTCCCCGTATCATCTCTGCTCTTTTTGGTATTCTTGTTGCTGGGGTCGTTCTTGGAGGAGTTGGATATTTTTTTACTGGCTTTGTGCGTACAACTGGATTTGGATTGTGGACGCTAGAATGCCTGGCACGAATTGCACCTGGTACTTCAACGGCTTCTATGGACCCGAAAGCCTTGCATACCGCTGGATTTGGGTTAAATCCAAAAACTTCATTATCCGTGAAGGGCGGTATGAAATTACGCTTCACCCGGGGGGTAAACCACCTATCTTTACGGTCAGTGTTTGGCCATATTGCCCGACTTGATTCGAGGAATTGTGCGAGGCAGAAAGGATGAGTTTTATATTGGTTGTGCGGTCGTGCGGTTGGCGCTTGCTTGGGTCGATGGTCTCAAGAAATACGTTTTGCTGCTCAAAATTTGCTTGAAAATTAAACTTCACTATTTGCTTTTAGTCGCTTTTTATTTACTAAGAAATGAGAAATCTCGGATGCGGGATTGTAGAAGATATGACTTTATCTAGACATTAGTGATTGATACGTCTTATCGTTTTCTTCTCTCCTGAATCATTTGAAGCCGAGTATATGTAGAGAGGGATGAGTAATGTAGATGTTTGGCGGATACGCTGTGACATCCAGAATCCCGCAGAGTCCTTTCTAGATGGTATTATATATAACCAGGTTGGTCTAAGGAGAGCTCAATTTCACTCAGTATCATTCGGCATATTTCCTCCAGCATGGAGGAAAATGCTCTTCAAAACTTCAGCAGACTGAACTAAACTGTCGTGCTCCAGTTCTGCAAAGGTCATCGATTCGAAATCAAGCGCATCCTTGAATTCCCCCGTACTGCCTGCCCAACACTCCTCCACGTACTCTTGGCCAGCTTTCCCAATCATCGAGTCGTTCCCCGCGAAATACGCCCTTACCTTTAGCTTTTCCTCTCCTGTCCGTCTATGCCTCCTTCTCTCAAGATCCACCAACTCCTTCACATAGGTCCCGTAGTCCTCGCACTTTCCCCACGTCTTCCCACTATCCGATCCCTTCCGCAAGCACTGTAAAGCCTCACTGTTTGCACCGACAGTGCTTTCCTCGAACATGAACTGGAACATCAGACTATCGAGCTCGGCCTGCACTCCTCGCGAGAGTGAGTACTCGTTCTCAATCTGCCGCCGGTTTCTCTCCAACTCCGTCTCGTTCTCGCCAGCGCTTCTGAAACCAGAGCCGGAGGAGATAACATTCGAGCTCTTCGTGATAGCAACTCCACTCGATGTAAAAGCCGGGCCCGCTTTCAAAAGAAAGAACTTTGGAATCTGGTTCCACACATTAAATGCTTTTACTGGTACATATTGGGCCATTTGCATGGACGTGACGTGGGAATAAGAGGGGTCAACCCAGGGTGCTATCTTTGTTAGCATTGAGTATACATGGGAATGGCCGGTTGAAGAAATAGCAAAGAAGATGGGAAAAAAAATACCTAAAAAGGCGACGAATGGCTTCTCCGGATGGAGAAGTTCACGACAATAAAATAGGGTATTCAATAGGTAGATGGTCCCCGCGCAATGTGAGACCAGCGCTACATGTTCGATTTCTAGATGTGCCAGGAGACGGGGCACTAATTCGACCCAGATGGAGAGTCGTCGGTCTAGCGGGACGTCGGTGGAATTGCCCATTCCAGGGCTGTTTTGGATAGTAAGCATTGAGAATTATTGCAGCTTTTGGGCTGGACCAACCGATCGACAATCAAAACACGCACGCCGAGTTTCTCGGCGATTGCATGTATAAATACGCCGAGGTACCGGGAAGCGAACATGCCTGGCATGAAGAGGATGGTGTGAGGATTCAGATTCGCCGAGCTTGGAGTGAATCCGACATCGGCATAGGTGAAAGTGAGGCTGTCATGATCCGCCGTGGCGGGGAGTGTGTAGCGGCGGTGGAAACGAGAGTTGGAGATGTAGCGATGGGCAATAGCGCGCGGGGAATTAGAGTCGGCGGACATGATTGTTTTCTATATATTTTCTGGAGAGGTTAAATATCGATTAATGATGATACTTCAGGTTGATCGAAGGAACAATGGCGGTTTTCAGTTTTTAATAAATGTAGTTGCCTTGCTAGTGGGCATGACCTGCTGACAGGCTGTCAGCACAGTTTAATATGGTTGCCCGCCAAAAAACGCCTAATGGAGCCGCCTTCAATCTGGGACTAATATTATTGGCGTGAGCTCTTGATTGTATTATAAAATATGTAAGGTACGTAGAATCAACCAGCCAATAGGACAAATGTTTACATGAGAATGTTTTAACCTAATTCTCGCGATCTCTCGCCGAATAGCGCCTTACCTCTGAGGTCAACTCCGGGTCATATGTCTTCCCATATAAAACTGCACAACAGCAATAACAAAATGAGAAAATCTAGTAAAATTCAGGACGAACCTTCGAATTAATACCTTTTTCATAATGATCATGCGCCGGCCACTTGGGCCTTAGCTTTCCGACCCTCGATAACAATAACAGGAGTAATAGTGAGGATTAATACTGCAACGACAACAGCAACCTGGGTACCGAAAACAGCTGAGATGCCATTTCTCGCAATCCAAGCAGGCTGGAAATACCCGACGGAGAACCCACTTGCCGTACGCCATGCGTTGATAATGGCAGACACAACGGTTGATTGATCAGGGTATTTCTCAAGGTTATATGCAGTGATGGACCTATAGAAGGTGGTATAAGTGAGTATGTACTATCTAAGTCGATGAGGCAAGGGAGTACTAACACTGTGCTAGCAATCATACCCGCTACTACCATACCCCATCCAAATGCTAGGCCAATCCAGTGCTTGCCGTAATTGAGGGTGAAACCATACGTCAAGAGACCGCATGCCATGGTTCCAATAGCAATCCAGACTCCATGTAGGCGGTATTCAGGACGCCAGTTGATTCGGCGAGACCTCTCAATCCACCTGTTGAACCAATAACCAAAGGCATATCCTGCTCCATTTGTTAGATATTGTTCACACGCTTTCTTTCCCATTTTTCTAGAAATAAGAAACTGAAAAAAGGATGGGGCGCGGGAAATAAGTACCGATCAAGCCACCGATGATGGGCGCCCATCGCAACGAGGCGGACTGAACCGTATTGAAGAGATAAGGAGGTTCGGCAACGAACGTTGAAACAGTAACAGTGATGCCTTGGCAAGATCAGAACCGAAATTCGATAAGCAAATCGGAACAAAAGCCTAACATACCAATTGGCCAGCAAAAATTCACCATAGTTGCAATGCCAGTCAAGAGAAGGGGTAACTTGAAGATATAGATGACCAATAACTTAGTCCAGTAGCCGAGAGTTCGCCCAACAGGCAAGTTGTGGTTCTTGATTCCAAGTATGGATTGTAAGCGGGAATTGCGTTGGCATTGCCGCCCTTTGACAAAGTAGGTTTCGTAACCAAATATGAATATTAGAATGGTGGATATTCCGTAGAAGGCCGTCAGAATTCCAAATGAAACCTTCCAGTTGCTGCCTGCACCTATATATCCAGCTAGAGCGGGCCCAATAAAAGGACCTATCAAGAACGTAGTTCCCCTGGAATAGTCTGTTAGATGGCTACTCATCCACCCAAACAAGGTTGATCTTTAGATGTGTGAATCGTACCAAATGTTAATCATTTGGGGCCAATCTGCAGATTTTTGTGAGTATGGATCCCCTAAAGCGTACTTAGACCGGTTCTCTTTTTTGCACACCTTCGGGACGATACATGTCATGAATGATCGGCAAACCGACAACTTGTGGGACCGTGCCAAATAGCCCTTGGAGAGATCGAAATGCGGTAAACGTGTCGTAATCATTTGAAAGTGTCGCACCGAGGACCATGAAGGTGGTAATAAACTGTGGCCATATCCAAACAGGAAGACTATTTTGATCTTAATCCTTGCGTCAACGCCTCTAGAATCCAGCAAGATGACACTTACCGGCCATAGGCTTCAATCAAGGGGATAGCTATAAGGCCACCTATTCCTTGCAACAGCATACCATAATTCATGCTTGTCGCTGAATGGTTAACGCTGATACCCCACTCCATGGCCTGAGGAACAATTAAAGTCGATCCCCATGTCATTCCACTGCGAAAATAATTAGTGTCTCCCGGAGCGCAAGACTGTTCAGCACATACCCATCAGCCAGGATAGAGCTTGACATGAGTGCTATGAACATCAAGCGCCTTTTAGTTGGACTCTAATTCCGAGGATTGCGATCCTCATCATCTTCAAGGGTGATAACATGAGACTCTGCCTTTTCCGGTACAGCTCTGTCGAGCTCGTCCATCGAAAATGCTGGCTGCTCAACCTTTGGTTCACTCATTGTTCCTGGTACGGCAACTCAGACCGTAGGTCAAAGACCCTTTGAGCCGACTTTCTTTAAGGACTTATTATGGTACCAGAAAGGTTGGCTGAAGGATGTTCAAGAGGAAGATTTGGTAGGAGCATTAGATGAGGTGGGCGGGACCACGTGAGTAATGCATCACCCAACTCCTTGCAGTAATACTACTACTAGTACTAGTACTAAGATAAGTGGTGGTCTAACATGCATTCTGCTTCAGTCCAGTTTTCAGGAATGATCAAGCGATCAAGCGAGACGACCACGACAGAAGATGTTACATGATCGGTCGAAATCCGCAACCACCATCGGCTTCTCCGGGAATTCGACCGAACTAGACCATGCATAGAATTTGATCAAGAACTGAAAAGCGAAGCCTATTGCACCGCGTAATACCACTATAGACGGCGGTGGCTGATTGGGTAACTTCAAAAATGACTGGTAGGGATTAATCAGCCTAGGGACTTTAGCGTTGGGGACGAAAGCGCAAGACTTTTTCCCGGTCGTTGTATACGTAAGTAATTTACCGTTAGTTTGTCTCATTGCGCCAACATAATATAACCGCGAAACTAGTCCGACGACGATCGAAAATTCGTTTATTGGGAACTCAATTTGGATTGATTTGATCCTTGGGTATCGAACACCATGATGTCTTCACATCCACCTGGGGCAGCTCTTGCGAGCACAGTTACTTCGGTTTGTCTCGAAATCATTCTTTTGATTGACCTGGTATGCTCACTTCATGATGTTAAGGTTGCTGCACTTGGTTTCGTACCTGTTGCCGTGCATTTCAATCTCTTTGACACCTTGGCAAAGGTCGAAGGCCCAGCGACCGGAGAAGATGTTCTGGCAGCTTATAGAAGTCGCAAGGGTGATAAGGCTGAAAATGATGTACCATGTGTGTCTCATGTCTTCTCCACCATGAAACGCAGTCACCTCTAACTCTGACCTATAGGTTTACGTTTAGTTCGTAAGACTGTTCCTTTGCAAAATGAACTACAACATAGAATGAGACGTGTGCGACTCACCCCGCTTCCCTACAGAGGATACCCTATATGCTATGTCCGGTCTGGGTTTCGTTGACCTTGCTGGAGACGATCTGTACAGTGCCAATGCAATCACTAAACACTTGGCTACCATGCCTTCAGCCCAGCATGGAGCACTTCACTTGTAAGATCTCCCTCGCAGTCGACTCACATGTTCTACAAATTCGACCCTATGAAACTATGCTCATCGGCTATAGTACCACTGAAGCTCTTCTCGGAGCTGCATTCTTGATGCGGAAGCTGAAAGCAGATAACTTCGAATATCCCTTCAAAGAGCTGGATACGCCCTACCAATACGCCTATCGCTTGATGGGCGAGGCAGAGCTAGCAAAGCAACACACTTATTCCGTCATGGCTGCTGAAGGCCGGATGGACAGCTTCAACCACTTCATGGTTGGCAAGTTCATGAAGACAAACAGTGCCCCTGATCGCCTTAGGGCACTCGGATACGGCTTACCGTCCGTGCTCAACGAGGCAGGAGACGGTGTGCCGGCTACTATGGTCGATATTGGTGGGGGCCGTGGAGAGCTGTTGTTGGACATTAAAGCGGCATATCCGTACTTGCAAGCCTCTGACCTTGTGGTACAAGAGTTTAATGAAGACATCATAGAAATTCCTGGTATTACGCTAGCTACATGGAATTATAAGGAGGATACCCCACAACCCATCAAAGGAGCCTTGGTCTACCACCTCGCGCATATTCTCCATAACTTGTCGGATCTAGAAGCTGCGCGTTTGTTGCAGAAGATATCTGAAGCTATGGCCCCTCATTCTCGTATCTTGATTCATGAGTTTGCAAAGAATGTGAACTATGCCAAGATGCATTCAGCCATGATTGCATTATATGCGGGGCGGGAGAGAAGTGCGGTCGAGTGGCGCCAAATGGCTGCATTAGCAGGACTAAAGGTGACATTTGAAGCATATCCGGAAGTTGGAGAAGGACTGATCGAAATGAGGAAGGTTTGAGGCGGACAGCATGCTCCATTTTAGGTTTGGCTCATTTTGTTAGACAGCACAGAAATCGTCGTGTAGACTCACCCACCTGTCTTCTTGGCTGGATGGGTTAGTCTCTACGATACGGCTTCTAGAGTGTCATAGCCACAGGGATGTTATGCCTATATTTCCGATTAGCTTAGCCGAGCGCCTAGGGGGCATAAGCACTAGGACTAGTAGTAGCCATAGAATATTGGCTGCGTCAGTACGGAATGGTCGCCGCTCATTCATCAGGGATGTGGTCGGACATGATCTTGGCTCCCGAGTTGCCTGGCTAAATGATTTAGTTATGCAGGATCTTATTGAAGCTTCGTAGAACGCTGTGCTTAGAGTTGCACATTGACCTCTCGCAATATGCAAGACAACTCTACTTATCTTTATTTCCACCTCCATACCTTGTTTCCCACTAGGGCTACCGTGTAATTCAAGTATTTCACTTCACGAATATCAATTGACAATAGTACCTTCCACTTTCAGCTAGTGTACCTCATATAGTGATGACATATTAATTCGTTTAGGCTTGCTACAGTTACCAAGAGGGAAGGTGTGTAATATTTCGTATAACCAAGTGACAGCACCGTCTCGGTTTGAAATTCATGGTTAGCCCTCCTGGTTAATAACGGACGCCGGTGGAGTAAAGACGAAAGTATTACGACCGTTAAAAGGTAATTTCGCCTTCTATACCCCCCGTTTTGTTCAAACAACCGGAAGTATCCATTTGTAGTTCATCTGGACGAATTGGCTTTGGTTGGGAAATGACAAAGAGAGGTTTTCCCAGTCATGTATTACATTACGA